AGGTGCACTGAGGACCCCTGACAGATGTACTTATCCCTATGTACTCCTTCTGGGGTGCGACAGGTGTGGGGGAGCACCCAGTGAGGGGAGAAGCTGATTCCTTATGATTGTGCCACCTGCCACCTGCCCCCAGGCCTTCCGCACTTCCAGCCAGATGGGCCATGCATTCATTTTGTTCTTCAGTGCACAGATGCGAGGTGAGCACACCTTTGTGCTGGGCATCCTGCCAGGCCCAGCAGAGAATACGGTGAGTATGAAAAGTGAGGAACAACTTCACTCAGCCCTGTAACAACATCTGGGGCTCCAGAACCTACTGTGGGATCACCAGCAGGCTGCATAAGCCATAAACTATCTCCTTCCACACCATGCCCTGGTTGGCTAAGCTGTCCCCATGGAACCTTGGCTTAGCAGAGGTAAAAAACAAACGCAGGTCTTCAACTAAGAAACCAGGATAGGTGACTTGTTGCAATGATGAAACGACAGCAATGACGACAGGAGACCTGCTGGGGTGCACATCAATCCTTGGGAACCCAAAACACCTGGAATGGAAGAGGATTTTGCAAGAGGCCAGATTTTCTGTGTGGACAGAGGGAGTCGGAGACCAAGGAAACTTAAATATTAATGTTAATTAAAACTGATGCTGGGGTGCATTCAGGACGTGTATAGTTTACAAATTGTATATGGCTACACAGTACATTTAAAATTAAAATTTAAAAGTTTAAATCAACTCTTCTCTGATAATCCTCCATCTCTGCTCCCACCTCCCAATGTCTCTCCTTTCTCTGTAGACTGCCTTTATCTGCACAGTCTGTTGTTTAAGTTGGGATCCATTCCACCTTCCCAGGAGCCTGCAGTGGAAAGTCATTGATTTGAGAGGACTGTCACTGAAAGAAAATGATACCATAATTTACAATCATGAAACACTGGAGAACTCGTTAAATACAAAATATTCATCCATTTGGTAGAATACTATGTAGCTATCAAAAATGATGTTCACAAGGGTCCATGACTGGATTAACATGGAAATGTTTATTTTACCAAGTTAGATGAAAAAAAAAAAGCAGGATAAAACTTGTATGCATATGTTCTCACCTTCCACTTCACCATGGAAACATCACTTTTTTTTTTTTGGTGGTATAGAGTTTGAACTCAGGGCTTCTTGCTTGCTAGGCAGGCTCTCTACCACTTGAGCCACTGCACCAGCCCAGAAACATCTCTTGAACTTGTGTGTAGGAAACCAAACACACAAGGAAATGTGACTGCTCACAGGCTGCCGACAGAGGAATTTCCTTTCCCCTTTTTCCTACCTTTCTGTGCCTTTCAAGTTTTCAGTTATGAAAATTACTACTTCATGACATGGAAAGATATGTAATGTATATTCATAAAAAAATTAAGTAATTTTTAAAAAGAGGGTCTTAGTTTAGCATCTTAAGTTGACTGGGTGAATATGAAGACCTTTCCACTATACTGCATGGGACACCAGTAGGAGGAGAATGGGTGTTTCCACGGAGACTGTGAGAAAATGAGAACTACTGAGCAAATACTATGTTTCACATAGTGTTTTATATGACATCATCCCAAAAGACACAGTCCTGAACACCATAATCCTGAATGTTGAAACCTAAAAAGTCAAAATACTAAAAATCAAATCCCCCAAATCCCAACCCCAAATGTTAAAATCCTGATAACCGAATTCTCATTAAAAAAAAAAAAGATATTAGATAAGAAAGCCAAATTTGGAGGCATGGATTAGTGAATTTCTGGCTGTTTCAGGATAGTTGACAGATTATTCAACCTCATTCTTCTGCCCCTCACTTGTGGTACCAGGCTTTCCTTTAAAAGAACACTCTTCATCAGAGAACAAAAGAATGCAACAAGGAAGGTCACATGCTGATCCAAAGGTTTCACCAGGTCCACAGAATGTGTGAGGCCGTCCTTTGTTTAGTCCTTGACTGTTGAAGAAGGTAGACTTCCTGTATTTACACAAATTCTAACAAAACCAGTGCATGCTTCACTTTGTCTAACGGATAGCACTTTCAAAACTGTCCTCACTGTTGTTGTTTTTTTTTAAGTCAAATACATAAAGCATGCCCCTGCTGGATCTGAAAATTCTAGAACTCTCTGCTCACTTACGTATTAATGACTGGAAGAAGTGAAGCACTGCATAAGTGCTTATTTGAAGATTTGATGCACTTTGCAGAACACAGTGAAGTTCAACCCCCTAACCAGAATGGCAGATTTGGAATTAGGAGCAATCAGGACTTCTCAAAGTGAATTTCAAGGTGACACACATCAAGTGTGTTTTTTTCCACATTTGGTGGAAAATATAGATGAGTGGATTTGCTCTGTGACATAGCAAAGAAGGGAACTCCGGTTTCAAAATGTGTTACTTGTCCACACTGTCATTCCTTCCAGCTTACGAAATTCCGGGGTCTTTTAATGAATTAAAGCCACATTTGCCTGAAGAAGCCTGCAAAGTTACTGGCTTATTTGAAAACAGGTTCAAAAATAACTGTGTGCAGGGTAAGGAGACATTTAGAGGTGGTAACTGCTGGATATGAATTTTGCTGTACACAATATTGCATGTGGGATGCATTTCCATGTATCCAGAGGGAACAGAAGCACGGCCCAGACCTGGGAAAATGTAACTGGAGATGTCACGTCAGTCTACAGTGGATCCTAGAAGAATTTCTAGAGCTGTGACTCGTAGAAAATGAGTGTGAATGTTCCCTCCAAGGACAGCCATGTTCTAAAAAAAAAAAAAAAAAAAAAAAAAAAAACAGCCATTCACTGGGATGCAAGACCTCAAAAGTGGAAAGAATTACGGAGCCAGGCAGCTCTGGTGGACCACCTCTACGCCAGAATCTGTGTGATGTACTTTTTCATATGTTGAAGCTTTGGTTTTTTTCTTTTTTAAAAGTTTTCTCCCCACTATTTCATAAATTGTGGGCATTACTCTTTATAATCCACTATGCTATATAGAGGAATTATTATTTTTTTAGCAGTATTGGGGTTTGAACTCAGGTCCTTGCAGGTGCTAGGCAGACACCTTGCCACTTGAGCCACAACCCCCAGCTCACTATGCTATATAAGTATTTAATCTTTGCATATTTTCCAACACTGGAGATAAGTTGTGTAGACTCCTGGAGAGTTCTAATTCATTTTATGCATGTTTTGCAAATCTTACTGTGAGAGTACATTATCGTAACACTGACTCTGTAACACTGCATGTATATGCAAAAATGTTCAAACTTCCTCGACTCCTGAAGAGATGTCCTCTGTGTATGTCTTTATTTGTAAAGGTAAGTTTCTCCAGATCTCAAGTAAATGTGAGTGGGCAGTACAGAGAGCTCCCATCTCCCTCCGCCATTCCCCAGGTCCCTAGATGTTCCCATCTGGCACAAGATGGTAAGTAACTTTGTTACAGCTGATAGACCTGCACTGATGCATCCCTCCCTGCTCCCTTTCCACTTGCCTTCCTTCCTTCCCCATCACTTTGGCAGGGACTTGCTAGGCAGGTGCTCTACCACTTAAGCTACTCTGTCAGCTCTTTTTGTGTTGGTTATTTTTGAGATAGGGTCTTTATGCTTGCCTAGGCTGGTCTCAAATTCAATCCTACCAATCTCTGCCTCCCCAGTAGCTAGGATTACAGGCTTGATCCACCACACCCAGCTGATCCCAGGCTTTTCAAATGAGCTTTTGTTTTTACCTCCCAGGAGCCCTGTTTTTTTTTTTAGATTTTTATTTTTTAAATTTTTAGTTTTATTATTCATATGTGCACACAAGGCTTGGGTCATTTCTCCCCCCTGCCCCCACCCCCTCCCTTACTACCCACCCGCCCCCACCCTCTCCCCCCACCCCCTTGATACCCGGCAGAAACTATTTTGCCCTTATTTCTAATTTTGTTGTAGAGAGAGTGTAAGCAATAATAGGAAGGAACAAGGGTTTTTGCTGGTTGAGATAAGGATAGCTATACAGGGCATTGACTCACATTGATCTCCTGTGCGTGGGTGTTACCTTCTAGGTTAATTCTTCTTGATCTAACCTTTTCTCTAGTTCCTGGTCCCCTTTTCCTATTGGCCTCAGTTGCTTTTAAGGTGTCTGCTTTAGTTTCTCTGCATTAAGGGCAACAAATGCTAGCTAATTTTTTAGGTGTCTTACCTATCCTCACCCCTCCCTTGTGTGCTCTCGCTTTTATCATGTGCCAGGAGCCCTTAAGCAAATGATAGGACCCCAAATCTTTTAGCATGGTGGCTTCCAGGCAAGGGGCTTCATTAGTGTCATTCTTGACTTCACAGAATCTACATGCCCAGGACCCTCTTGGGTCAACTGAGTCACAACCTCCACTGGGCAAGCAGCCTGCGTGTGTTAATGGGGTCCTGATTTGCAGAACGGGTTTTCAGGGACGAGCCTGTGGGGTGACCCCTATATCCTTCACAAAATGGGAAGCATGATGCCTGCGCAGGGCAAAGCTGAAGGAGCTTGAGGTCTGTGGAGACTGAGTACTACGGGACTTTCAGACATTTGGGAGTTACAGGCTGAGAAACCAGGGCAGCAAGAGGGGTGTGTGAAAAGGCCCACGTAAGAGAAAAAAGCTCACAGATGCACCCCCTACTTCAGAGAAAGGCAAAGGACCCTGGGGTGCAATGATGAGGTGGCAAGACGGCAAAGTGGCAGGCAGCTCAGGCGGGTCCAGTCGGGCACTGGGTTCTGGAGAGTGCAGTGTCTGAGGCACCGCAAATCCAGGGAAGGATGATGGTGAAGTAAAGCTGTAAGGAGATCTTAGAACTTCAGACAGGTGACGGCTCACTGGCTGGAGACACCTGAGAGCAGCTGGAGGCCTCATCTACCCGCAGCTTACCTACCACACTCAGACTGTATTCCATGGGGGAAGTGCTGTGGTTTTCCTTCTTCCTTTCTCCATTTTGGGCAAAGCCAGGGCTACCTTTTGAGCCTCAGGCAAGGCAACAGGAAAAGAGGATCAATACACACAGGCCAAAGATGGTGTTTCTCTCTTTTATTTAAAAACAGTGCTTCATTACCATTTGCAAAGGCAGAGACAGTGCTCCTTCTTTGCTTAGAGTTTATAAAAGCCAGCAACATGATCAATAATTTATACACATGGAGAGTAATACAAAAAAATAAGGGAGAAAAGCTAAAGATCTAACTACTCCAACCTTCACAATTCCAGCTACGTGATAATGATAGAGTAACCCAATGAATACTGTATGGTCTGAAAGCTACTATACAATATGATTCTTCACGAGAAGGGAAGGGAATTAGAGACTGTCAAAGCCCTGGGACGCTTCTCTGGAGTTAGCAGGGAAACAGGACCCTGGGCAAGCAGCTCGGGTGTCCTAGGGAGTGATTCTGGGTGAGGATGGGAGGGAAGGAGACAAGGCTAGGTGGTCAATTGTACAAGCATCCCATGGATGCTCAAGCCCCAAGGTACCTGTTCTACCATGGCAAGGGGAGGGGCTGGACAAACTGGTGCACATGGGGCCAGCCAGTCCCTGCCACAGGGGTGGGGAGGAGAGGAGAAGTTCTGCAGCGCTTTGAGCCTTGCAAAGATCTGTACTGAAAAGCTTGGAGCCTCAGGTAGGTTGGCCTGTGAGGGACAAGTAAACTCTGCTGGCTCTCTTCTCACTTTGCAGCCCTAGTGTCAGCCCCAGGTTGGCTCCAGCTATTCACAAGCAGACTGATAACACAAGAAAAAAAAAAATGTCCCTTAAGGGAAAAAAATAGGATCAATTCATCACTCGATATATAATACAGCCAAAATGAGCTGCCACGTAAGCACTCGCACACAAAAATACTGTGAACAATTTAAAAAAAACAAAAACAATTAGAACACGATGAAGCTGGGAGTCTTCATGGGGTGGAGACATGGCTTAAAGCACTTATCAGTCCCTAGAATAGCAAACCATAAAACATTTTTTGAAAAATTCAAAAACTCAGATGCCCCCTGGGAATGTTGGGAACAGGGGAGGGGAGTGAAAAGAGACTTGGTTCCCTTTTTTGATTGCCAGGATGAGTGGAGCCCTCATGTCACCGGTATTCACAGAACTACCGCAGAGGACCGTGGCCCCCATGCTAGCAGTCTCCAAAAAGGCAACCTTGAGTTCTGGCTGATGAGCGGTTCTTAGTTACCAATCCCTGCCAACCAGCACTACCATGGCTGAATTGATCTACCGTTTTCCTGAGTAAACTGTAACTGGCTACAGTTTCGGTAACGTGCATAGAACTCGCCTACCACAGCCACCTGCAATACTCAGGGCCCTCCCACCCTGGCTCCTCTTCTTAGTGCCTCTCACAGAGGGATTTGACAACCTGTGAGACTTATTTTCAAAGAAAAGTGCCAGGGACTCTCCTATGTGCAGTAACCCGGGGGGCACATGCTGGCTTAGGACACCCAGAGACTTCTTGGAAAGGGCCCTGTTTCTTGCTATAGTTGGTGGATGGCTATTGCCTGGCTGATCAGTAAAGCAAGGATAAAGGAAGTACGCAGGAAAAGGAAAGGGACAGGAAAAGAGGCTTTTGGACAGTAACATTTCCAAAACAATATAGTGTTTTATGCAACAGAGAATCAAGTGTCACTGGTGTATGCTACAAATGGTCAGACATTCTCAAGAGCATGACAAAATAAAACACACACGTTTACATCTGATGTTCATCTTGCTCACTAATTTTTTCCTATCTTAAAACAGTGCAAACAGGTAACTTATGCTTTTAAAACACCACAACCCCTTCCCCACCCCCCAAAGTCCCTTTCCTCCTAACATCTGGGGGAAAAATCTGCAATTCTGCAAACGTTATTGTGCTAGAGTTCTAAGCAGCAGAGAACATCTGAACTGGGCAAGAGAGAAAGGTTTGCCACAGTTTCCCCTCTCCCTCCTTAACCATCCAAGTGCTATCCAGACTGCCCCGTGGCTGGCCTTGTTCTCCTGCCAAGGGGAAGGGGGTGTATCATGCCCTTCTTGTATGTCCTTGGGGTTGCTTCCATCCTAATTTATAGTCCCTGGAAGCTACATGACAAGTTACAGGATGGTGGATATAACTGACCTGTCTGCTCTATCCGTAGGAAAGCATACCCTAAACTTCCTAAACTGAGTAGTTCAGCCCCTGAGGAATCCACATTTGAGGAAAAACTGCTATCACTGATTTCTATTGACTAGATAGCCACTAGCGTCCCTTAATCTAAGAGCTGAGTCCCAGTCTGCTTCTTTTTTCAAGGAAAGAAAAAATATTGGCTCAATTCAGACTGAGACTGCTGGAGGAGATGGTGACAGTAGGTTTTGTTAAACCTAAGGAGCCTTAAAAATGGTGAATCTCAATGGTGGATCTTAGTTAATGGAGCTGAATTAAGGAACACTACAATTCTAGAAAAGACCTAAGGGCAGCTCTCTGGCTTGAAAGGATATTCAGATAAAGGTTTACAATAGAAGCTAGGCTCCTAACTTAGTAAGATGCTTGGTATAGAAAGTCCAGGTCATGAATGACAGCAAAGCTGAAAAGACTATCCTTGAACTGATTCAGCATTGTTAAGTTTTTGGGAATTATCAACCAGCATCCTCTAACGAGGTCACAAAATGCCAACCCCCCAGCTTCAAGTCTGGATCTAGTGAGAACTAGAGTCAGGACTTACGGGCACTGCAGCTTTGTCTCGAGGAACCTGCCTCTGGTGATGCTGACTGGAGGGAAAGTCAAAGTTCCCACAGCTCTACTGGGAGGCTGATATCGTGAGATCTGGAAGCCTGAGAGCATCCCGTTCTCTGTGCTGACCCTGCAAACCAGAGGCCCTTGCATAGAAAGCAGAACTTCATCTACTCTGTCTCAGTAAAGAGTGTGCCTTGGGGCCTCAGCCAGAACCAATGGAACCGAAGTGCAAAAAGGCCACTCAAGCCTGGTGTCTGCCTCTTTCTGAGGGCTGCCAGAGGGAGCTGCCTTCTCTACCCTGTTGGCCATCCTTTTTCTGTCAAGGAAAAAAGAAGGGAAACATTGATTCTTCAACTCATTCTCCTGTTCTCCCCTCCCCCGCTATGGACAAAACCATTGAGGACTTGGCCTAGTCTCCACTGGGTTTAGTGATTTGCCATTTTGTGAGAATGGCCCTTCCTGAACATGACCCAGAATTTCTGTTTCTTAAGTCAGTAGAAGTTGTCCATCAAAACAAAAGCAAAAAAAAAAAAACAAGAAAAATTTTCCCTGCCCCATTCCCTAGAGCTCTGAAAACTCCCAGCATCCCCTTTCCTAACTAGAATTATTTATATACATACAATGAAAATTGTCTTAACAGCAACAAACCAAACTTTGGCTTGGGGAAAGGGCTCTAGGAACAGCCAGTGGATCGGGCAGTCTTGTCCCCACTCTGCATGCTCCGGCAGAATCCATGGCTGCATGGAGGCCTCAAGTGTCTATGTCACACTCTCCAGCTATCAGGAGAGAGGGGATCTGAGGGGACGAAGATGTCTTACACACGGCAGGATGTGCCCTCCCAGACATATCACTCTGCTTACAAATAAAGCCTGATGCTATCACTTCAGCCATTTTAATTCAGGGACATGAATCAGTTATCAGTCAAGAACATGTGTGGAGGCAGGAGTAAAAACTCAAACACAAATTAACCTATAACAAAGTAGAAATTCCATGTCTCTGAACTACTCCCTGTAGCAGCTATCCCTTGGGTGATAGGTCACCCTAGTACCAATGTGAATAGACCAGGGAGCCAGCAGACTGTGCCTTCTATTTCCTAATGCCTTCATTTTGGACACTCTGTTGGACGCTTGTCTTTCTCAGTTATGTCCAAGCTTTCTCCCCTACCTTGGTAACATAAAGCTGAAGTCAGACAGCAACCACAGTGACTCACTGCTGGGGCCCATGCAGGAGAATCCCTTGTTCCAAGATGGGCTCCAGATTTTCTGTCCTATAGTGTTAATGTGCATCAAGTAGTCCTGGTGCTCAGCTAGTGTCTTTGGAGGTAATTCAAAGCTGGGTGGAATAGCCATGAGGGCTTGAGACTGTAGAGAGAGAACTGACTCATGGAGGCTCTAGAAGGTGAAAATTCCTATGGCTTTGGAGTGAGTACAAAGTGCCTCCACCTGATTTTACATGTCCTAATCACTGAAACTTCCAGGGGCAGCTGGCCTAGGGGTTTGGCGCCTTATCTTTCTCCAAAAGATGTTTTATTAAATAAATTTTATGCTTTTTACTGATTTTCTGATGCAAGAAAGATAAGAAATATCAGACCTAATATTTTTTTTCTCTTTACCACCTTCCTTAGTGGCTCTCAGCAACTTATATTTTTAATCCTCAAGCTGTGCCCAGATACCTGGAGGAAATCTGGCCATGGCTATTCATTCTTCTGTTTCTGGGTCCTAAATTCCTGAATCCTGAGGACATGGGAGCAATGTACTACTAATAGGATATATGAGTTATGTGGTGGTTCAATTAAAGGGAAAGAAAGCCAGCTGTTAACATTAGGATTACAGGAAAGAAAATAATATTTTCATATTCCAGAGTCCATTCTGAGACTGGTTTCCTAATGAGGTGTTATTATCCATAGCCACAGAGCACATTTGGAAATATCAGTACTATCATTACCAAAACTACACCGTCTCAGGATGTCTGTGTGTGTAAGATGATTGTGAAAAGGATGGAGAAGACAGGAGGGAAGAGAGGAGAGGAAAGTGTCTTTTTACTTCTCCTGCTTTATAAGCACAAATTCCTCTCTAGTGGCATGTGGATTCCAGTCACAGCCAATCAGAGCTGCCTGCTAAAGACCAGAAGAACATGCTGTTGCAGTAAAACCTCTTCCAATTCTGTTTGTACCCCAGCCACTCAGCACCAGATACACCTTGGTGATTCTGTCTGCTGATTTCTGATCAGATGCATTTATCAGCCCCTAATGTCTCTTCTTCCTCATGAACTACCTCTTCCGTGACTGACAAGAATAAGCTAAGCACGGACATACAGACATGGAAATGCATTATTATTTTTTTTTTTTACCACAGTTAAAAAAAAAAAAGAAAGAAAAAAAATGCACAATCTTTGGAACAAAAGAATTAAAGGCAGAAATTTAAAGGAAAAAATACATATTCAAAGAACATAGTGAGGTATAAAAAAGTATTCTCTCTTTTTTTTGTGTTTTTTTGTTTGTTTGTTTTTCCTCTTCATCTTGCTATAGAGTTCCTCTACTAGTAAATATTGCAATAGCCAGGCCTCATGAACTGGGGGCTGTCCCATTTGCAGGGGTCTCACGTCACTTCAGTAGGGGGCAAATCGGCTGTAGCCACCTCGGTATAAACTCGCCTACAGTGATTAAAGACATAAAAATAATTAAAAGGTTGATGAGAGTAGCATTATAAATGAAGAAACATGTTCTGAGGGATTTGGGGGAACAGCTTCCTTTGAAGCCTCAAGACAACTGATTAGATGCTGCTGGTACAGTGAGGTTAGGAAACCAACTTCCACATCTAATGAACTTAAATCAGAGCCAAACACATCTATGTTGAGCTGGCAGTTGCAAGGAGAGGCAATGATGACAGTTTACTTCATTATTTACATGAATAGGCACAGAGGGAGACTAATGTAGCTTGCAACCAGTTCTGTAAATAGTATGATTTTTACCAACATGCCTCACCTCTTCATTTACCTTGACACATCATTGCAATCCTGACCAAAGCAGACTTCTAGTTTCCCCTTCCTATGCCTGTTGGGGTATGTGTTATTTCTGACCACTCTCTTTGGCATGGATGGTCACATTCTGTGTTTGAGATGATGTTACATTTCAACCTAAGTCTACCTTTCAAATAAAACCAATTTCTTTTTTTTTCTATATAATTACTTTATTTTTATTTATTTCTTTTTAAATTTTTATTTTATTCATATGTGCATACAATGTTTGGGTCATTTCTCCCCCCCCTTACCCCTCACTACCCTGCAGAAACTATTTTGCCCTTATCTCTAATTTTGTTGAAGAGAGAGTGTAAGCTAAAACCTATTTCTTATGTAATGCATAAAATACACCTGTCCCATGTGTCCCAGAATCTCCCATGGATACCAAAATTGGGTGGATACCTCAGTCCCATATGTAAAATGGTTTAGTATTTGCAAAATAACCTATGTGCATTCTCTGATACACTTTAAGTCATTTCTAGAGCACTCATAATACCTACTACAATGTTAAATTCTATGTAAGAGTCACTGTTGTACTGTATTGTTTAGGAACCAATGGCATGAGAAATGTTAAGACAATTTTTCAGTTGATTCTATGGATGCAGAGCCCATGGAATGAAAGGACCGATGAACACTAACTAGGTTGTGTTTTTATGGCAGCACTGGAGGTTGAACTCCAGGCCTTGTGCTCCTAGTCAGGTGCTCTACCACGTGAGCCACTCTGCCAGCCTTTTGTTGTGATGGGTTTTTTCAAGATAGGGTCTTGAGAACTATTTGCCTGGCTGGCTTCGAACTGAGATCCCCCTGACCTCTGCTTCCCAAAGCAGGGATTACAGGTGTGAGCCACTGGTACCTAGCTGAGATTGTTTCTTTTAACTTTATCAAATGACTTTATCTGATGGCTTATCCTTTTCAAGAAGTTCCCCAGGAATTCAGTTTTCCTTGGGTTATTCTTTTAATATAGGAATTTTATCATTTGGCACTAAAGGAAATACCGGGAACTTCCATCACTGTCTTGATTCTAAACATATAGTCCCTGAGGACTCTGTCATTTCCCTTCCCAAATCTTTATCAGTGGGCTTTTAGTATGAGAAATGGCAGGCTCTCATACCCCTTCATATCTTAACTTTTATACTTCACTCTCTTCCCTCTCAGATAACACTGCCCATGTGCACAGGCAGCTGCCTAGCTGCATTCTGGAGAGAACACTGGCATTAGGAGGTGTCACTGTGGAACAGTCTGTCTTTGTTGTAGCCAGTGAGTCCCAATCACTAGCACTGAAGGCATGCATCCAAGTCTAATCTAAGAATATTTCAGTGTGGACTGTGGTCAGGGTGGATTATCCTAGCCAAGTTCTATGGAAGTCTTCCACACTTCCATGAAAACACATATTTTGTCACATATGTTACTGATATATCTTCATGAAGTGTTCACTTGATGATTCCTATTCCTGTCTACCAGAAAAAAGGCTTCGGAATAGCAGAAATATCCTTTGGATCTGCAAATGAAAATTCTATACATTATGATTTTTGGAAAGCTTCTGTGAAAACTGAGAGCCTTGTATTTTCAAGTCTTTGTCATTATCTATCAATAAAACTGTATCACTGGTACATACCAAATATTGGTACCTGTTCCCATAATATGGGAACATTCAGGGAAGACTGTCACTATCCATTCCTTTTGGCATCATGGCTGCAAGGCTGATACTGGAACACATAGAGGGTGACATGAAATTTCGAGAGACCTATGTGCCTTTCACACTTCAGCATTGGATGAAGAACTGAGTTTATTACTTCCCTAGGTCTCTGACAGTCTTTAAGTAAAAGGAGTAAAATGGTTCAAGAAAAAGGTGTATTACTTACCACAGCGCCAACTCCATAGCTAGCGGCAGGGGCAAGGGCATGGTAAGGGTCTGCTGTGTACACCCTGCCATAACTGGAAAACAGAAGCACAATCAGAGAGAGAAGGGACAGACTATGACAGACCGTAACAAACGGATGGGTTTACTGTGCTAAAGACTTGTGAGTTACTTGGTCTTGGACTGTCATTAGGAAAACTGACAGAATGGGAAAAACCTTTTTATTTTTCTCCTGAATACAGTAACTGGAAAATTCTGAAGCACTTCTATAAAATGGCAAAGAAGGGAATTGAAAGAGGAAGAGGGAAACTGCAATCACAGTCCAAGAAGAGACAGAACAAGAGAGTAAGTTGGGGAAGGAGCCAGTGGCACCTGTGATGGCACAGCAGAGGCCATGAAGTGCAGGCTTGCAGAGAAGCTAGGCTGGCAGACGGCCCAGAGGACTAGGTGCTGCTCTGGAAATGGTGAAGGAGGAAATGAAATGGAAGTGACGCTGAGGATGGTGTGGAGCTAAATATATTACATTTATGTGTTAACTTTAGATTCTCTGATGTATACTTGGAATGGTTCATTACCAAGAGATCAGCACATCACGGGAAGGTCTGATATTGAACTCTGCTCCATTAGGCCCAGAACGTTTGTCAAGAAGCTAAGATAATCAGCAGTATTTAGAAGGAAAGAACAAAGTACATCAGGATCAGCAAACTTTGTCCTATGATGTAATGCAGCTGGCCACCTGTTTTATAAAGTAGTTGTGACACAGACTGTATGGCTTAAAAAGCTGAAAATATTTACCACTTGGCTCATTACATAGTAAGTCTGCCAAATCCTATCTACATTTCAGAGTCTGCAAATTTTTACAAATGGCTGAGGAGCCTTTGCTTGGATTCAAATAAGACCAGAAGTCTATCCTAAGTATTTAACTGTATTTATTTTCCTTCTCTAAGGGATTTTGTGATTCTCAGTCTCATGGCAGGCTCCAACGGCTGCAATCTCCTCAGTCCTAAGGAATTTCAAACCACCAGAGCCTATGATTTCACCTCAGTTTAGACGAACCAAATACTTAAAAGGTTTTCACTCACTATGTGGGTAAATTGTACATCCTCTTTTAGAAAGGATTTCAAAGATAATGGGCAATGATCCATGAGACAGGCTATTGTGCAAAGTGGCAAGTCCTACTTTGCTCCTAACTCTTGTAAAATTCACTACTTAGCCTATACCTAATTCAAATGGAAAGCTTTACTACTGCCTTTATTACCAAAAGGAAGTGTTCAGTTGGTCCATTTGCACACCCTTTCAGTCATGAGTAGCAGCACTCCATTTTGTTTCTGTATTTTGTGTCCATTTCTCATAGACATTTAAGCTTTCTAGTTTTTATTTCTTCAAATGTTAAAAGTATTTTTCTAACAGGACCTCTGCTCTCCTTTGCTATCTTATGTAGTAGCTTTTTGCTTCTTTAGTTCCATTAAATCTTGTTTTGGAAATAACTAAAATTTTATGGGTTTCTAAAGCTTTTTGCTTCTTTCTTATATAATTCGTGCTTTCAGTAACCGAATAAACTGAACTGTGAGGAAAAATTCACTCTTGCTCTTCAAGTAGTGAATATACATGTAAAAAACCTAATTGAGGACTGAAGGCCTGTGACTCAAGCCTTAGAGGCCCTATAAAGGGTGAAGCCCTGAGTTCAAACCCCAGTACTGACAAAACAAATCTGATTAGCTTTTAGCAGCTAGCATTATTCTTCCTCTAAAGTAAACACTCCTTTCTTGTCTACAAATTCTTTATAGATATTCATAAAAGAAGACTGTAGTCAACATTACCACACACTGGCAATGACATGGTAATGGGTGGGACAGGGAAGAAGCACCCTCAGGGGCTGTTTGTGACCAGCACTTCCTTGGAATTCCCACCAAGCCTATGGGAATGGGCAGGCCAGATTGATCTGGCAAAGCTGTACATACTGGGTGCATTGGAGTTCATTAAACTATTTCTTTTCTTTGTGGTACTGGGGTTTGAACTCAGGACCTTACACTTGTTAGGCAGGTGCTCTACCACTTGAGCCACTCCACCAGCCCTTTTTGGTGATTTTTTTTTTGAGATAGGGTCTGCTGAACTATTTGCCTGAGCTGGCTTAAACAGATCCTCCTGATCTCTACCTCCTGAGTAAGTGTGAGCCAATGGGGCAAAGTACACAGCAGGGCTATCATCAGTAATGCTTCCTTGCAAACGAGGGTCATCAGCATTATGTGGTTTGTCTCTTTTGGAATTCCTTCAAACATCGAAGTAATTTCTAAAAATCTAAAAAGCTGAGGTAATAAAAGCAAGGTAAGCCCGATCCATGTTTATCTAGGCAAAGTATTTAAAAGCTGGGGCATACTTGTGGGGCACAGGCATAGACTCTCCATCAGGGAGTTCTGAGGCTCGGAAGTATTCTTCTGAGGCTCGGAAGTATTCACCTGAGGGTGGTGGCTTCAGGCCCAGCCTCTGAAGCCTAAGCAGAGATACTGGGGCTTCACTATATGCATATTCTCTGCCATTACAGCTTTGAGCTGGAGGTTCTAAGAGAGGCTACTGAGAGGAGTGGAGGAGTGGATGTCCTCAATTTCTCTGGCCTGCTAGAAGCCAGAAGGATCTTTATGGCTGAGAATCAATGTTACTGCTAAACCAAGCCAGTCTAAAGTATCAGGATCAGGATCAGACTGTGGGAAAGACTCTTCCTTCCCACCCAGAATGAAAAGGACAGTCTACATCCTCAGTACTTTCCTTCTGGTAAGTGAACTCTGACTTTGGAGTCTAACTTGATGAGGCTCTCTGTGCTTCAAGTGTAGGGAAAGAGTATGGGAATGAAATATTTTACTGATAATGACAGGCTTGGAAAGAGTCTCAGAATTAAGAAAAACTGCATTAATAGTTTTTTTTTTTTTTTTTTAAGATAATCTTTCAACCCGACTACTCTCCTAAAGATTTAGGATAATGATACAGGGAAGTCCTTCAAAGGATTTTAGGATGGATATGTTTAGGATGGATAGCTAATATCCTAATAAAGCAAGCTGAAAGTTCACCAATGACTAACCCAAATAAAAAAAATTAAATTGTATATTATGGATTTACTCCTTTACATATATATTCTTACTCTAAAGTATTTCTGCTGCTGCTTAATTGGATAATATATATATATATATATATATCGCCACAAAATGTAGGACAAAATCCAGATATATTCTGGATTTCAGAGTGCATAGATTCCAGGCTGAGAAACTGTTTATCAGCTTTCACTTCTACCAGCAAATCTGAAGGTTTTTACAGAACATGAGAACAAAGTGCAGTTTGAAACACCAAGGTTTTCATTACTGTTTCTTAATTTTTCAAAAAGAACAAGGTGGGAAGGGAGTAGGAGAGACAGGGTTCAGGCGTGGGGAGGGGATATGGCGCCACATTTATTAATCACATTAAAAACTAAGCATGCCAACATCTGGAGCTAAAACAACCAGCAAAATCACCACGTTCAGACTCGTATTGGCTAACTCTATCTATCCCAGCATTCTCTTGGGACAGCGGTTTGCCCTAGGCTCTACCACAAGCTCGGTGAAGTACACAGCCTCAATTACTAGAGCGTGCAGCCACAACGACCTGGTATTACGGAAACAGTCAGTCACCACTTGAGTTAACATTCCATACCCTAACGACTGGCCCCTCCCCAGCCCAGAGGAAGAGTAAATCTTGCCCACCCGAGCCCTGGCCCACACCACAATGTTAATAATTATAACAAGCAGTAACCCATCTGTTATATCAGAGAAGGGAACAGAGACTCCACTGAGAGATTTAGAGTGAGATGTTAACATTTCTTCAGCTGACTGCACAAACAAACAAACAAAAAAAAAAGGAGAAATAATTCATTTGGAGATATGACGTCATGAATAGCTGATGTGTATTGCTTTTAACCATGCACTGATGCAAAACTGAAGCAACCATTAATAATAAAAATTAAAAAGGACATATGTATTTACACACAATCAGACCTGTTTGATCTGAAGCAGTTTGCAGATTCTATCTGTGTGTGATTTGAAATAAAACAAAAAATGGGGATTAGCATGGCCACAGCACACCCTAATGTAGGAGGGCACACACGGACAGCTTTTTAGAACTCTGAGAACTCTGCTAAATTTGGCATGCCTAAGCCAAATACTCAAATACACACATGCCCCTTCAAAGATAAATCACTTTCTTATTCCTTTCTAACTCATTCCGAGTAACACCTCGTGTTCCCAATATGGGTAAGGCCAGTGCTGTGTCACTCCTATTCAACCTGCCTAACCCTGATAACATATTCAGCCCTCAACCATAGCACTCACTTTTCTGCTTCCCCTCTGGCAACAATAGTATATTCTGAGCCACAGCATTCTTCTAAAATATTTTTTGTATTTGAGAATTTTTTCACCTATTCTTAACCTATTTCTGCCTTTTCACTTTCAGGAAAATAGGAAAATGACTTCTGAAGCTGTTAAAAGAAAGCCTCAGTTTTCCACAGTTCATTGTCATCTCCTAGGGCTTTTCTACTCTGTATTGGATCAACTTTATCATCTAATTAGCTTTATAATGTTGGCACACAGACCACAGGATTCTTCTGCACAGTTCTGTAGCTATGCTTTAAACAAGAACAGAATGGATTAGTTGTAAATATCATCCCTACTGTATCTGGCTTTTATCTGCTTATCTATCAGTTTAATCTCACACTGGTTTTATTAATCTCACACGGGAAGACGTTCATCTTGTCTTGATTTTAACCTTGCCTTTAATTTTATTGTATTTTTTGCTTTTGGGTTTACATTAAAACAGGACTTTGGTGAGCATGTGATGTCAAGACACCTTCTTTCTACCTGAAAGACAATGACATTATGTGACACTGAGGAGGGTGTGTATTTCAAGACCAGCAGACAAAATGAAAGCTTGTTATCTCCATGTAGTATGTAGATCAACAGAGCGAGAGAGAAGAGAGAGAGAGAGTGAGTGAGTGTGTGTGTGTGTGTGTGTGTGTGTGTGTGTGTGACAGGCAGGTGTGATGCTAGAGCAGACACAGTCCACTTAGAGAGGGTTTAACACTAAGCCTCTGAGAATCACTATATTTGCCCCTAGATGGTCCTTACTCCCTTTTTTTTCCTCATTGCTTTCCCACTCCAGCTGAGAACAATTACTCTAGGAGACATTATTGAATTCTTATGTGGCGACATGGGATCTTTGAGCAAATGTGAATAGCACAGACTTGAATACAAAAACTTATAATTACTGCTTTTGACAGTGATCTACCCACATGGAAAAGTGGTATTTAAATCTTATCTCATTTTTTAAAACTGGGGCTAAGGAAAAACATTGTTATGATCAACTTGATATCTTTATTATTCTATGATAGATGAGACATGATCTTTAATGAGTCAAACCTCTCAAATACTTTACTATTCCATATCTCTCCAAATTAGTTCATTTCCAAAATCTCACTTGGGTAGCCACAAAAATAAAGTAACTGACTTGTTAAGCCACTGACTTTTCCTTCTCCTTGCATCCAGCTATTAGCAAACCTATCAAAGTGGATTATTATCAAAATGGTTTCATCGACCTTCTCAGGTGAAAGAAATAGAAGGGCCAGGGAACTTTATGTCTCACTTTTTGAGTGAAAATATATCTAGATTATTGAGCAACTTCAAACTTACATAGTAGTACAATCCACAAGGAGTTCACTACAGGGCCCAATGTAAAACTCAAGTTCTAGATGGACAGATTTCTACATCTTTCCTTCTCACATTTCTTTCACAGTAGTTAGAAAATGTCCCCACCTGCTAAGCTCTCCAGTTTACATACTAAGGCAAATGTGACTGACAAATTAAAAGAGGCAGCAGTGAAGGGACAGTGCATGTAACACGTCTGGTGCAGATATGTGGCAATGGAACAAGAGCACTTATTTTGAGGAAGGGCCATTATGTGTGGAATGTGACTATGTGCACTGCTGAGGTAGCAGGGCTTAGATCACACGCTCACAAGTCTTGATTATCCAAAAAAGCCTCTGTTCCCATCTCTAACGTGGAGCTGGAATGGTTAGTATAATTCAATTTTTTCACTGCAATCCACAATCTGGTTGATTGGCAGGTCACACTGGCACTCCTACCTGAGGTATTTTAGCGCTAATGATTGGTTCCTGTAAGACTATTCTATAACAGAACACAGGAAGAGCAGTTCAAAAAACACAGCTGTGGAAGGAAAACAATCATACAAAAAGCCCACTATGGGGCACACCAGCCTTTTCTTTCCTTTGGATGCAAGCATGCTTTTCACAGGATGAAAATTCGGAGCAGTTTGTTTTCCCACTTAAAAGGTCAATCATGGTGAACTATGCCTTTTCTACTGGGTAAAACAGAGGGGAAGGAGGGGACGTACAAAGGAGTGGCACACATGCCACAATCCCCAGTCCTGTCCTGGTGTCTTTACAAACTGTAGACACAACTGCTAGACCAGTTCTCTAGAGAGGAGAGTGCAATGAAAGAAACAGAAAGGGAAAAAGTGGGTAGCAGGAATCACTGTCTAAGAGTGAAACAGGAAAGGGACTTTACAAAACCCTCCAGGACTAATGTAACGTAAGCAAAACCAGCATTTAAGACTCTTCTCTCTCCTGCCTTCCCTTCATGCTCTGGGTTGGTGCAGTTTTTACAGGAGATACACCCTATCCTTATCCTATTCTAACGTGTACTTCTGAGGAAACGAGAACTAAAGGCGTATCAGTAAGATTGTCACAATGGGGAAATGTATAGACAGAAACAGACAATCTCAAGACACAACAATAGTTTGTGTGTTTTTAAGAAGCATACTTTGCTCTCAAACATATGGACTATCCAGTTTAACAGCGACAGTTAGATTAGACCTAACTCAACAGCTGCCTCATAATGTATTTTTGGTTCTCATTTCACCACTAGTGACCAACTTTTTCCTCCAAGCAACTCTGCTTTAAGACAGGAATAAGGAAAAGATTGTCATTAAGTAGTTTAATGAACAAGGGTCCATGGTCCAAAATTATTTTGGCCAGATCACTGAATTACTTGTTTAGCTTCATAAGGTTTGTAGATTAAAAAGAATCAAGAATATTTTCTTGAGAGGTACAGAAAAATCATCTCTCAATAAAATTTTGCATTGTAAAATGAGGAAATGAGAGAACCATAAGCAAATATTCAATTGGTTAACTTAACAAGGTAAAAGCAGGCAATATCCAACCAGATACAAGTAGAATGTATTTTAGAAAAATCCCCAAATAAGGAAGATACTAGAGGAAAAAACCCCTTGATTTCAGAGATAATTCAAACAGAAAAGCCTGCTCTCCAGTTCAGATTTCAAGAAAACAAATAACATAAAGATGAATTTTATGACAACACGGACACCAATGTACATGGGAGAATGCATGTGCTAGCATCATATATAAATACATTAAGAAATGTATAGGCATAATAAAAAGTAAAGCTGATTTCTCCAATCCTCAAGTTTTAACTGTGAACGTGGGGAAAAAAAAATCTTTCAATACTTCTTGAAAACATTCTGAGCAAAGAGGTGGATTTTAATTAAAGCATAAAGAGAGGTAATGAAATATGGATTAGCTCAGTTGTATGAATATTTATGTAATTCTGATAGGTCACAATCTAAGAAACATTATCTATAAAGTTAGAGCATTGGACCAAATTATGACTAAAGTTCCTTTTAAGTAGTTGTTAAAAATGAGGCATGCAGCGTCACCTAGACCTTGGAGAATGGCATTATCCTCTTTCTACTTCCTGCAAGCCTCTGAGTGAATTATGAAAGGCATTTACTAATTTCTTAGACTGCCAGACAATCTCTGGCAGACTGTAGAAAAGGCTTTAAAAGCTCCTCTTTATGGGTTTTTGGGAGGTAAAGGTAGAGAAAACATTTTTAAGCAATTTTAACCTATCTCCACAGAGTAATTTCATGCTGACAAAATTTTCTTATAAAATTAAGCATTTTGGAGAGGTCTTAAAAGACTTTAAAACTCAAAAACTTTAACTCATTGTCAGTTAGATTTACTTTGTCCATCTTTTAAATAGTATGTGACAAACCAAAAACAGAATTTTACCTACAGATAGATGGACAAATAATAGATTAAGTGACCCACTAGCCAGTGGGATCAAAAGTCTTGTCTGATAATCAAGTAACTGTAAGAGTCTAGGTTGGTAATTATGCTACTTCTTTCCCCCTGCCAGCTTCTAAGGAAAGCGACTCACTGGCTGTGGACTTTTGGATAAAGAAATGTTTTAAACACAGAATATCTGGCACCCTCTCACTACTATACACTTTTCATTGGCACTAGGTCCTTCTGTCACTTTCACAGGTTTATGTTGTCCTAAAGTATGTGAAATCAGAAAGCACACAGTTCAGAAAGTCTACTGCCTTCTACTTAAATCAAACTTCTAATGAAATAAAGAGGAATGTGAATGAGAAAAGCAGAAAAGGGAAAGAGTTAGCATAAGGCTAAGCTAGTCCTGTTATTTATGTATGCAAATGACACGACAGTAATAAAAGACTTTAAACCTGCTGATCATCTCAAAAATAAATTAGAGATACACAGAACACCTATGGGCATAGGGAAGGGAAAAGAATATGTCCAGTAGACTGACCCTAGCAATGATCAAGAAACCCAAAGACTTTGTTTTTGCACCCAGGGGCAAGCGCAGTGGCAGAGAAGCATGCTTGCATTCTTAAATATATAAATATATATATATATCTATATCCACAAGTAAAATGAAATAAAAATTAAATAAATTATATTTAAAAAAAGAAACCAAACCAAACCAAAGAAACAGAAAAAAAAGGCTGGCTTGTCAGGGGATGGGGTTGAGAAGGCCCCGGTGTGTGTACTTACATAGAGGTCAGCACCGTAAAATCCGTCCTGGTAAACCACACTGCAGAAAATCCACACAAAAACAAAAACAAAAAACAAAAGAACAGAAACACATTCCGGTTATTGAGGACGGCAGCATGCACATGCGCTCTACACAGGCAGGTGATGTATGAATATGTAACCTGGGCTTGGGGTCATGGCAAGGAAGTGAGAAAAATGTGCAAGTGCATGTTACACAGCTCCAGGACATTCGAGGAGTGCTAAGGGTGTGCAAAACTGGAACGAGCGCCTGCCTCTCTGGTAACTTTAGTAAAACTAACACAAGAAACAGCACTTCCAGGAGGGCCTCAGAGAGTTATCCAAAATCACCTGGATTAGAGAGATCAACATTTCTATGGGAGTACTTTTAAAGATAAGTTTGGTCTAGGAGGAAGTTTTTCTTTAAGAGCTTTCAAAGGGTAGAGGTAGAGAGGGGCTTAATATGAAAAAAGTGAACCCAAAGAATTCTATTAGGGCAGGATCTATATGCACTGTATATTTCAAAATTATGTTTAGTACTTTGCTTTCAGTTTCATAATAAAATGTTAGTTTTTTTCCTGATATCCATACATCACCTGCTTTTTACCCTGCACATTAGACATGCGATAAGATTTGGCTGATCACACAAGCATGCAAAGTATTATTATTTAGCATTTTTAAGAACCAATGCAACACCTCAGAAAAACAAGTCAATCAATTCTGACCAAAGTAAACAGAGAAATGTAATTAAATAAAAGAAAAAACAAACAAACAAACAAACAAAAAAAACCAAAATACCCACAATGCATTGCTTTCACAAGCAGAGATAATGAGCTAAAGGTTAAGGTGATTGGTCCAAGGTCCAAGAATTGAAAGGTGCAGTGGGGATCCCAGATAGTAACAATATAATCCAGAGTGGGAAGGAGCAACTGGAAGATTTTAAGGGTTCTTTTTTGACATAGGAGTATTTGTGAAATGCTGAGAAGTACAACTGATAACTGAAGCTCTGGGCATGACCAAGGATCATCCTGTCTTACTTCAAAGAGTAAAACTGAGAAGACAGCTGTTTAGGAATATAGGGTTTACTTTCCTGCTTAAACAATGAATTTGTATCAAACAAGCAATACATTAGTCTTTTTTCCCCCTTAAATCTGGAGCAACACTATATAGTTATTCTTACAATACAGATTTCTGATCTTTTGAGGTATTTTTGTATATATAGATTTTCCCCCAAACATTATTCTGGGATCAAAAAGACATGAAACAGTAGTAGAAATAAAAGATAAAGACTTGCTTCTTCATATTTGTTAGGTCAAGACTTGGCTATTTTACATTAGATGATCCACGTCTTGTTTATTCAGCTAAAGAAGATGGAAATTTTCACCACTACTTCCTGTGCTACAATAAACCAGTTGGCAAATAGGGTCATCAAGTCTATTTTTAACTTGGATATGAGATAACTGGCTTCTTATAAGTAGCTGAAGTTTCTCACTTCTATTACCAATGAATGGCCTTTTATTGTGTTTACAGATTAGTACAGTCACACTTTACAATGCCCCAAATATGCTGCTTTTGTACTATACAATAGGCAAACCAAACCTGTCTTTGATATCCACTTAGCTAGGTTACATTTTGTCTCCATTTGTAGTTAAAGTCTCATACCAGGAAGCAATCTGCCTTCCCATTTCATTGATGTAAAAAAGACTTGTTCCTAATGAGAAGGCTGATAAAATGGAAAGCACTGAGGCCAAGTGTGACAAGTTAACCCTTGGCAGTTTCAGTAAGGGGACATAGGCAAAGATTTAAAAATACTCCTTCTATAGAGGAGTGTTTGCAGTAAAAACATGAATGCATTTTGTCCTAAGACAAATCAGTCACTGGGAATATTCACTTAAATTCTAAAAGAATTCCAATATTCCTTGTATCAACCCTGCCACAAGGAGGCTAGAACACAATCATTAATGATAGAATTTGTTTACTAGGCTGAAAAGCAATTCTAGGCCATTCCCCATAAAATACTGGACTTATTCCTTGCCATCTTCCATGTGAAAGGGTGGTTTAGTTAATAAAAAAGAAAACATGGGAAATTAGTGCTCAATGTAATGCACAAAAATTGATGTAATTAGATAAAGTATCTTTGACCTAATATATACCTAACACATACGTGGTAGAGAATGGGATCTCAAGTTTGGCCAATATACTGAAATGACCTATGTCAGACAGGAATGAATTCAATCACCTTATAAAGTAACTTGGGAAGGTTACAAAATGAGGAAATCCCATGTTTCTTTGAGCAGTCTCTAACTGCAAATGTGAGTGTGTAAACACTCTTGGATTGAAATGGAAGATGCTTCATGAGCAATTTTCCTAGCATGTGCAACTTTAAAAAAGTTTTTATGTTTGAAACATTTTTATGTTTCAAATAAATATTTCTTGATGAAACAATACTGCGTCTTTACTCATTTCTTTAAAGAGATGTCAGAGGTTGAAGGTCAAAGGTCAAGTTGAGAGGGGAAAAAAAGGATAAAATTAAAAGTAAGTCATGGCAGAAGATGGAGATGATGGAATGCAAGGGATTTAAATGTCTCTATTTGCAAACGAAAGTTATTTTTTGAAGCAGTTCCCTTCCAGGGTCTTTTGGAGTCTGCCCACTTCAGCATGCATACTTGCCTTGTCTAATAAAAATGCTTTAATTCTGTGGCATGGAGGACTCCTAATGGTATGTCCATTTGGTCTATGAACGAATGAATGTTAAATTAGTACACCTCCAGGTGAAGCCAATTTTGTTGTCAGAAAAGGGCATACAAAGGAGGCTCTTTCCCTTTATATTTTAATTAAGTAGCAGCTAATAGGCTTTTCTGCCACTATTTATATTCCCCTGAAAGAATACAGGAAAACAAAACAGAACAAAACAAAACAAAACCTGTCATAGATAGAGAAAAGATGAAGAGAAATGTCACATCTTCAAAGAGAGAAAGTCCTTGGTATAACTGACTCACAGAAGTCCACTTTTTATAAAAATATACATTTTAGGCTGACACAGAAAAACAACTAACAATCCTGCCATCTTCCCTCCTTCTCTGCATTCAACAGCAAAGGATTTATTTGTTGCTATGGAATCGTTCCACTGCATGAGCACCTCCACGTGAGATCAAAAGGTGAAGGGTGCTCAGCCACATCTGCTGTTTACCATCACTCAGAAGCCAACTGCAGCCTAATTCTCCTACTTCTCCCTTTCTCCCTTGATCCAATTGGACTTGGTTCATCTTTGAATTAGGCTCTTTTATTTGTTTCCTACAAAGAAAGCAAATCCATTGTGGGTAACTGGCTCTGCTGCTCACCACCCAGGCAGTGAAACCACGGGGAAGGCACATCTGCCAGCCCCTGCCCCAGCACGGGGTGGTGAGGGGGTGAACACAGCAGAAGCAGTCTGGTACTACGATCTCCAGCTCCTCTCTCAGTTCTCTGCAGTAGTGTTAATCCACACTCGTGCGCTCTTGAGTGAACTCCATGCCAACACACTGCTAGTAAACACAAGACGGTTCTGGATACTGTCTTAAGCCCTCACCATGAAGTCTTAAGGTGGCCAAAATGAAGATTTGGTTACATTCTGATGATGGTATTTTTTAGTTCTTGCCATTTAATTCAATTTGCAAATATTCATTGAATATCTACTATGTGTCACGGCAACATCCCAGAAGTTATGAGAAGGCCAGAGCATTCTTTTTTTTTTGGCCAAGTGCTTACTTTAGAAACATAGTGATTTTGGAATCTAATGCTTACCCTGGATAGGCGGGGATGGCTGTTGGAGGTACCGCTCGGACTGCACCATATACTGTCCGCCCTCTGCCTCTCAGATGGGCTCCTCTGAAAGCGGCCGCTGTGGTGGCTGCAGTTGGGTAAGGGAAGCCAGGAACTAAAGGGAGACCCAAAATATGACAGAAATTTCAACCTACATTTAACAGGATGTATACAGTCACGACTTGTTGTGAACCACTTATGGAAAAGATGGCATACTATTATTCAAAACACTTCCTATTCTGGGTCTTTGAGCAGGAAAGAAATGGATTGAGAGACCTGACATGATCAAGTGAATGATTCCATGTTTCATTCATCACAAATCTTGAGTGAGTTTACTCTGCTCCTTCTCAATTTTGCCATTACAATGCAAGATGTTGGGAAACAGCTGAAGCAGCTCTGAGAACTACTGCCTAGTAAGAGACAAGGTCTTTGATTTCTGTGAGCAGTTTAAATCAGATTGATACAAATTCTTTAGCCAATTATTAATCTTGCTTCTAAACAAGATTACTTCTAAACAAGATATAATAATTACTCCTCAAAAGAATGCTCTTTTTATATTTTTATATGGTGCCAACCTTCAAGGCATACAACCGTCTTTTAGACATTCCATTTCATTTGTTAGCTTCATTCCTTTACCTAAAATATTTTAATCTGAAATGTACAGTGAGAAGGAAACCACTGCTTCCTGGCTGCTGCGTGTCTTATAAAGAGGCAGACATTTTCTAAGGGCCTGTTTAAATGTGCCATGCTATGGAAAGCATGCAGACACAGTGATTTCACATACACAGAATCCTATTTAATTACACTCCTTGCTGTAGTAAAAGGGGGGCTTAGGTCAAAGTGACCTGAGAGACAGTAAGAGAGCTGAGAATATAAATAATACTGGTGGTGCTTTTAGGTGATACTTTACTGGAGCATAAGAGCTGGACTAGATGAGGACATGAATGTGCGCATGTCTTCTGATTTCCTTACTATCAAGTACAGACTAGAATATCACCACATGCCTTTATCTTTTCTAGCTTTTGCAACTATTTTGCCTTGTGGCGTCTTAATATTTGGTCAGAAAATTCTAGCATGGATTAAGCAGAACAGGGCATGTTGATAATATTACCCCTCTCAAGAATATTCTCTTTTCAGTTATGTATTATACTAGGAAAAGAAAACAAACAGACCAAACTAGCATATCACTGTTCAGTCTCAATGGTCAAAACCCATGCCAGGCCAACATAGGCTACTTACTGATTAAAGGAATGTAAGTGTTGATACCCCCTCTTCCTGATAGGGGCACAGCCGCATCGTTGCCTAGGGACACATCTGCTTGAAAGCTGGATGCTGGTTGCATTTTAAAAAATTAAAAAATGTAAAAAGATTACAAAGGAATAGCAAACTGAAAACCTACAGATGCTCTTACAGTTCAATAGCACAAATGGAATTGTTAACTTAAATACTACCTGCATATAACTCAGGGCCATACACAGCTCCAACTACTGGGCTTAATTTCCAACCTGAAACAGAAAAGAGGACAGCGAGCATTTAGGATTATCTGAGGAAAAGGAGCGATAGACACATGTCAAGATGGCTTCACACACCTCTGGGCTTACTTTTGCCTACTATCAACTCTGCTTTAGGATGCCAGTTTAGGGTTTATATGAGAAGGCAAAAGCATTGTCTTTAAGCAGGACCAGTGTAGCTGAAGGGCATAATGAGTGATCTGGAGAAGGTAGGCAAGGCACATGAGTATGCATGAGGAGAAAGAGAAAGAAAATGGGAAGGGGGAGAAAGAAGCAACAGAAATAAACCCTGGGGCTTGGTGCCATTTTGTCCATGGCCCTACCCTAATGACACATTCTGAGTTTAAAGCAGGAAAGAAGGCAGAATGTAGATACTCAGTACCACAGGCAATGCACTTTCTTACACACCATCTTAACATTGTTAATCAGTATAGTTACTTCATAAAAGTATCCTCTGATGAATTCAGATTTGACCTGGTCCTTGGACTCCATGTTCAATTATACCATGCATGTTTTCTGGATAAACTGAAAATCCCCTTAGGGCTTACTAAGTAAAAAAGGGAAGACATGCAAAAATAAAATTCAAGGTACATTCCCAACTTCAGTGTATAGCTTTTGAGGTTTTAATTTGTAACCAACATATTTAAGTTAGCAGACTTTTTAGCTAAAGGACATTAGATTGCTATCAAACATTGGCTGCAACACTTATAAATGTTAAGAGTACCCAAATATTACGTTTGATGTCATGTTATTTCTTCTTCCCCCTTTTTCATATTGATAGGAATACGGCAAGTGATTTAAAAAGAATACTATTGTGTACTGATAGTGAATGAGAAGTCCATATGACCTTTATAATCAATACACATTTATTTAATTTTACATATAATAAGCAAATACACCCTGTTTTTTCTGAAAAAAACTGGATGTTTGTTGATTTTTCTTTTTTTGGGGGGTGGTATTGGGGTTTGGATTCAGGGACTCACAATTGCTAGGCATGCGCTCTACCACTTGGGCTATGTCCCAGCCCTTTTTGCTTTAGCTATTTTTCAAACAGCGTCTCTCACATTTTTGCCCAGACAAGTCCAGACCACAATTCTCCTATTTATGTCTCTTTCATAGCTAGGAGGATGGATGTGTGCTATCATGCTCAGCTTTATTGGTTAAGATGGGATTTTGGTAACTTTTTGCTTAGGCTGGCCTTAAAGTATAATCTTAGCCGGAATTTCAGGGGTGAGCCACCTCACCTAGACTCTTTTGTTGAGTTCTTTTCTAGCATTTGTGCCACTGCTACTCTAAAAATATGAGGGCTGGAGATGTGGTTCAAGCAGTAGAGTATCTGCCTTGCAAGTGCGAAACCCTGAGTTCAAATACACACACACACACACTCACACTATACAAATAGAAAGAAGAAAAGCTCAGTTCTATTGAAATTACATTTTTTTTTTTTAAGATAAGATCTCACTATGGATCCCAGGCTGGCCTGGAACTACCAATCATCTTCTTGCCTTGCCTAATGAGTGGTGGGTCACAGTCATGCACTGGCTGAAATGACCATATTTAAATGGCAATAAGCAGAGACATTATTTAGGAGAAAGCCCTTTGTTTTTAATCAAGTCAATCCCCTGTTCTGATTAATGTGCTCATGAATGTGCTGATTTATGTACTTATGATGATGGTCTCATATAATTTTAGCAAAATCTGAGTTTAAATCTTGCTCTGCAAGGTCAAATGTCTAAGTTACACAGATACTGCACAATGTTTCTACACAAACGAAGTGATTTTAACTAACATAAGTGAAAATGGTGGCTGAGAACCCACTAGAAGGCTTGTAGCACACTCTCCTCTTAGGGCCTTTAAAGTAGCAGCAAGCAGTTTTCTTAAATATCATGCTCGAATACAAATTTAGAATAACAGCCCCAAATGGCCTTTCTCTTTCCTCCCAATGGTACTATTATTCCTGAGTACTCCCTTTGCATGGGCAATGATATGCTGTTAATACTATTTTGTATATGTTTATTTTTGTACAATTTACAATGTTATTTCCCCAGATGCCACCTGACTTTCACAAAACCCAGAGGGGGAGAAGTACTACATCTGTAAGCTTGGGATAGAACTACACTTCTCTGGGCCTCATTTCCTAAGTAATAAACTGAGGGGGCTAGCTGATGTGTTCTAAAAAACCTTAGATGCTAAAATTTTGCCGTTGCCAAGTTGTAGCTATGCAAACAGAATCAAAGAAGTAAAGAAACTGCTCTGGTGTAGAACAGTAAAATGTAGCATTGAATCTAGAAGTTGACCTTCTGTCTTCTGAAATCCAATCAGGGGCTCTTTCTGTCACATCTTTTCTTTCTGTATCTAAAGGAAATATGACATACTTTGCCTCTCTTTCCTATTTTGTTTACACTGTACTTTTATCCAAATTGCAGAAACTTGTTTCTGTAATAGCAGTAAAAATAAGAAGACAAGAGGAAGGCGGTGATATCCCATGGTTATAACACTGATAAAAGGGGTAGGGAAAAAATCTTGTGTAGAACCCTAAAATATACAGAGAACGAGGAATGACTTGAACCAAAGCAAAATTAGAGGATTGGGGGTGTAGCTCAGGAGTATACCAACTGCTTAGCATGCCTCAGGCCTTAGCTTTGATCCCCAGTACCAGAAAAAAGGATGGATAGAAGGAAGGAAAGAAGGAAAGGTAAGCAGAAATAGAGACCTCAGGACCTAATCCATTTGGATGCTTCTTTATTCTCTCCAAGCTGGTTCCACAGAACAGTTTGCAAAACCATTGTGTATTACAAGCTAAAACTATATTCCATCTCATTTAGAGAACAGGAATCTAGATTAAATTTGACAGCTGATATAAAATTCTGTTTTTTTAAGAAGAAATATTCATAAAAATTTCCTTCTCAATGAGAAACATTTATAAAACTTACTGTATAACTAGTAAGAATGGAATAGAAAATTATATACCCACACCCATCCAGGGCAGTTACTACTAGGCCTTAAGGAAAAGAAAGCAAGGGGTCTGGAGTAACAAAAGTGGTAAAACATATTTTTCCTTCCAACTTATTCCACTCATGCTCATCTGTGGAGGAATTGGTAACAAAAGTAGACTTGGTGGGCTTTCAAGGGGTATCAGGGACAATTCTAACATATTAACCAGGAGCTACACTAGCTGAAAAAGAGGATGCTCAGGGGGACCTAATTTGGTTTCATAGGCAACCTCAAATGGCATGTTTGTACTGTGTAGGAGATGGAAGTTAATGAAAGGAAAATGCCTTAAATCTAAGGAAAAAGTTAATCTGTAAAGATAAAACACTCATAATAAAGAGACTACTTCAATGCTTTGGATTGAAATAAACAGAGATTTTTTTTGAAGTTTTTAAGACAAGCATAAACAACATCCTCCCAAAGATGATCTGTAATTTCTTACCATTTGCATATGGTGTGACCATCTTCTTATTGGTCATTACACGTGCTGTAGCATTATTCACCTAAAAATAACAGGTAGAAAAAGGGATAGGAAAGTAGTAGACCACATTAGCAAACATGAAGTTGCTCATCCAGTAACACAGTATTCAATTTAGAATGTAAATCTCTGATAGCATTAATTTAGATAATATAGCAATATAACATTTTTATAATGAATTTTAATTTAAATGTTTATTAAACGAGGCTAACAAGAGTAAATTGAAGTTTCTTGGTCTCCAAATAGAAAATTAGGGTTACTTTACCATTTAATAGTCCAAAGAAAAAATACATTTTCAAGTTCTTTGAAGATCCTTAAACAGAAGTCTCTGCATTAAGGAAACCATGGAAAAGGTAAATGGGAAACAGGTATATCTGCAAATGAGCTTTGAAGCTTATCAATAAAACATGGGTCTTTAAGGAGAGTTAGAGGAAGACAATTAAATCTATTGATTTCACCTATCCTAATTTTCTGCATTTTTGATGTTTAAGATTTTACAGGCTGAGATTAGGGAATATAGGAATTTAAGATTCCTATATCAACAGTCTTTAGAGCCACTCTGAATTTTCTAGGCTATACAGTTTATTTCATTTAAGAATAAAGTTTTCAGAAGGCCTGTATAGTAGGCACTTAAAAGAATTGTGGAAATAATGTCTATTTCTTCTGTTTTATGGCTCTCTCCACCCTCATTACAAAAGCACATAGTTGAAAGCATTCTCCATGGTAGAACAAGGTCTTACAAAGATGGTGTGGCTGGAGACAAGATAAATGGAATTTTAAAGGTAGGACACTGCAGGCCAGGGTCAGGACCAACCTCAAAGCTCTTGCAAGGAGGGTAAAGACTCACCATAGAACTTACATGTCTTCACAGCCACAAGACATGCAAACTTCAAAGAAAATTATGAAATATAAGTGTCTTATTTTGCCTCTTGGAGTATACATTGTGCCAGATTGTGTTACAGAAATCAATTTTAGGTAGAATTAGAAACAAAAAAAAAAACTTAAAGATTTGAACTGTGATCCCCTTTCCTAAATGAGGACAACTTGAAACTCCATTTACTCTAGTTTGACTCCCAGATAACACAAACATTTCACATCTACAAAGAATGGGAGACAACAGTGATGAGACTGAGATGGCATGCAGTTAACACACACACACAAATAAAAGAAAGAAAACAATCAATTTTGGAAAGAAGGGAAAACACGAAGATCAGCGTTAGAAAGGAGCAAGAGCTTAAACTAGCTGCTATTGCAGAATGCAACCAAGCAATTAAATGAAAAATGGCCAGGACCAATCAGAAACCACCAGTCAGCAAGAGAGACCAAGAGCTGCATGAAACAGAGAAGGGAGAGGAGGGAAGAACAGGGAAAGGACAGGAATAAGAATTTGGACAAGGAGAAGAATGTGGTAGGGAAAAAGAAAAGAGAAAGTGGGAAAGGGTAGCGAGCAGGAAAGAGCTATCAAGGGCAAAAAAGAGCTACAAACAGAGCTTTTGGGAAAGAGGAAAATTAGGAAAGGAAATAGGGGCAGGAAGTGCATTAATAAGACCAGCTAAACTGGAGTTCAGTAACTCTGAGTAAGATGTGCAGGGGAAAAAAATCACCATGAAGTCAGTAATCAAACAGCTCAGACTGCTACAAAACAATATGTACATCCAAAGTCCAGGCGGCATCACTCAACAGCATAGAAAATAAAAGGGGGGGAAGGAAAAGGAAAAGGGACAACAAGTCAAATCACATTTTGTAGTGTTAATGTGAGATGGCAGATGGACTTTTTCTTTCTTGTTTTGTAATTACGTTTTAAAAAGCTTCTCTACTGCTTTCATTTCACTTACCGCCAACGGGTACCATCGCCAGCTTTGTGTATAGTTACCATGGAAAAGAGTGAGTCAAGTGAAGGGCCCTAAATGCTAAACCATTGGAAAGGGGGAAAAAAAAGCAAAATATGCAGACATCTTACTCAAACAGTGGCTTTCATACTTAATACTTTAAAAAACTGGGGAAGGGGAAAGGAGCCAGTTACCCTTCAATGCATTATAAAGGGCTGGTGTGCCAGGGGCTGACTCAATTGCAACTATAGCTCATTTGCCAGCCAGCAATCGCACCCTCTGTTGAGGGTGTTATCTGGAAAGTTTAAGATACTGTCAAAATTCTTGGTATTCGACATAAAAACTACCTAAGTTTTGGATTCTCTTCTCCCTCCCACGACCTCTACAAACTTCTATTCCATGTTTATCACATGCACATGGAGGCGACTGGCCTCCCAAGAGAAAGGGGTTATTGGCTGGCCCCCGGTTCATTATAGAATATAGTGTTATAAGCTAGGTAGTTTTTAGACATTTTAAAAGTTAGTTTTGTTTAGGCCTGATCACAGAAATTCAGTCTTGCAAACTGAAGCAAAGGAAAAAACATCAAGGAAGCAGAAGGATGAACATTTTGGAGGGGGAAAAATGTAAATGAAAAACAAGTAAACATACACAAGCACACACACACACACAAAATCAAAATTAAAACCCAAACAACCCAAAATGGAAAAGGTGAACAGAAGTTGTCAATTTTATACAGTTTAGTGCAAGAAGGTAAAGAACACAAGAGATTCAAACACACATACAAGTGCGCGCGCACACACAAACAAGACAGGGTTCCAAATGTGAAATAAGTGAAGCAATACAAAAAAAAGAGAGATAAAAATGTAAACCAGAAGTTGAATTATTGAAGACATGCACCTCGATTTTACGGCCCTCTACCACGGTGCCGTGTAATTTCTCCCTGGCCCTGTCTGCATCAGCACTATTCTCGAAAGTTACGAACCCGAATCCCTGCATGCAGCGGGAGAAGGGGGAAAACATGCACATCGTTATATTGAATACTGATCTCTTGGTAAACAGAAATATCACAGTACGAAACTGACATCAGCAACAACTCTGCAATACTCTTCCCAATGTCACATTTTTGGTCCATGCATATTTTATGAAGGGAAATTAAACCCAATAAGAGAAGAACTGTAATGAAAATAACAGTAATTTAATTAATGGTAACAATAATATATAAAGCTTGCGAGGCCAGACCAAAATTAAGGTATCGAGTTACTTGGGTCAAACTATTCAACCAAGAATCTGAACATTTCTTAATATCCTACTGTTCTCAATTCATGGTGTTAATGTACATGTCCCCTATATAATCCTAAAAAGGAATTAAATTGACTCTATTGAATCTATTATTCTTCACTAACTGCTAGGTGAAATCTGACATTCAAGATTAATCATTGTATAATGAGACTTTTAGGATGTCTAATTATTTTAGCCCCACTTTGCCTGTTACTTACTTACTATGAATTCCTTTAGGGACAGGGTAACAAGACATGGTCTTGATGTACAGTTCTGCAGGGACTTGTGTGGAATCAAGTGAGACTATCACTAAGCAAAAGTCAATTATGACTATGATTTTTCTTCAATGCCAACTTCATTAAATGATCAGCTGAATTTCAGAAAACTACCAACCCAAAGTTGCCAATATCACAATCTGTTGACGTCTATAGCTGCTATTAAATGTATTAGTGATTTTCCATACCAGGGGACAGAGTAATAGGCAAATAGGAACAACAGCTACATTAGTGACACCAGCTATATACTATTCAATAGGAAACAAGTACCATAAAATAACCATACAGATGCCACAGTGAATTGGGATTAATTTCAGCTGTCCCTTGCAGCCACTACAAAAACAGAGTGGAGCTTTAATCCATTAATAGGCAATCAGGAGGCCAGGGAATTAACCTGCTCCTCTGTTCTCATCACACTACTTTCAATGTAAGCAGGACTGAGTATATGTTTATATGACTATTTTGTAATGGACCAACCACATCATTTTTTATAGGTGCTTTGACCTTACCCTTCCACCACCCAACTACAACTTTACAAATAATTTCTCAAGCTATTTACTTCTGCAGAATGGCAAGTTCTTGGGATTTTCTGGAAAGTCATTTTCTAACAGCTTTGTTGTCCCTCTAGCATCTTTTGAATATTCTACTATAGAAATGCCTAGAACCCTTTATTTTTACTGAGGTTTTTGCCTTGCTGCTTAACAGCATGAGTGGTCCCCTATATACAAAACATTTGTCCAAATGAGATATTGCAAAGAAATAGATTTTATAAAAAGCAACTCCATCATTTTGAAGGATCAATCTGACTATTCAGCATTCTAAGTGATTATATGGGTGGATGGTGTTTGGAGGATTTCAGTGGATTTTCTCTACCCACAATACCCCAGAAAACTCAATACTTAGGTAATAGAAAATTTAAATGTATGTTGCTTGCTGTGGAATATTATGGGTAATATTCCCATTAGCTAATACTCTCCCAAAGAACATCTAAATTTGTTCCAAATATCAACAGAATATATTTTCAGATACAAATTTTGATATCAACATGTTACAGCCACTTTGACACCTCAGTGTACACAAGGTCAAGTGAAGGATGCCACTAGTCTGCTTCTGATGCAGACAAGAAGGCAGTTCTCCAATCACAGAAAACCCTCCAAAGGAAAGTTAAGCCTTTTATGAAAAGTCTTAGATAGTGAGTGTTTATATCACACTTGAGAAGCATTATAACTGCTTCAACTGATTCTCACAGCCAAAAATTGTACACCTTGGGATAAATTAAATTATAGATGATCTAAGTTATTGTCCATTTATGTGGAGACTCATAGGCTTTTCACTTTAGCATTTTGACTGTCTACACGACACACATGCCCACATAAAACTGTACATACTTGCCATCTTAAATACAATTATGGAGTAGAAAGGACAGATTGTTTTGGCCAAAAAATGACAGTTTAATGTTAATGCCTGTGTGAGATTTTCTCAATATGATGTTATTATGGAACAAAATTGCATTTTCAAATGTTTTTAAAAAGAAAGATGTTTATATACCAAAGGAAATGCTAATCAAGATACCAAAGACAAAGATAAGCCATCTTTATAAGCACCTCTTCCTAGCATACAGGAGGATGGCCTGGCTGGTAATTTGCATTCTCTAATGTAAAACATAGAGATAAGAGTTACTTTCCTCTGAAGATAACAGACCTTGTGTAGGTAGAATAATGTCCCCCAAAGTTGTTCATGTCCTAATCACTGGAACCAAAGGATTTTGTGGATGTGATTAAACTATCTCGGGATAGGGAGATCACTCTGGATAATCTCAGTGGGCCCAATGTAACCTCCAAGGTATTTATAAGTGAAAAGAGAAGTGGAAGAGGCAGAATCTGATTTTATCAGCTTCAGAAAGACTTGACTGGCCATGGCTGGCCTTGAAAACAGAAGGGGGCTACAGTCCAGTGAATGTGGGCAGCTTCCAGACACTTAAAAAGGCAAGGAACCCAATTATCCCTAGAGCCTTCTGCCCTCCAGAACTGTAAGATAATAGATGCGTGGTTTTAAGCCACCAAATTTGTGGTAATTTGTTCAGAGCCATAGGAAATTAATATACAACCCTTAGAATTAAAGTCTATGATTAGAAAGGAGGGAGATAAAACCAGCATTTTTAGAGTATTGTTCTTTTATGTTGAAACTTTAAAAAAGGTGATTTTCCATATACTCAAGCTTTATGCTTTCTTATCTATTGTTTACATTTCAGTTTCAACAATATTAAATCAAAGCTTAAAAAATTTTAATGTGCTACTACTTCTTCAATAAAATTTAACATTCCAAAAAAGGTGCAGGAATTGTGCTAACTAATGACTATCACAGATTCTCCAGGCTTAAAAGTTACCCACAGAAAAGTCTGCTTCTATGAAATTGTATTTTAATGTCTCTTCATCCTTTGAGAGCTACATGACATTAAGTTTTGGGTCACTCTAATCTATTGCTTTAGAAAAATTATGTTGAAATCTATCACATTTTCCTCCAGCAGCCTCAAAATGATGAATGTATTAGATGTTGAAACATAATAACTGATCTGGACAGGCATAATAGATTACATAATCTGTAATCTCAAAAAACAAAGGAAATAGCTTAGGTATGTAAGTAGATGAATTTTTATCTAAACTCTCATTAATAAAAATAAAAAAGTTAACTTTTATTTTAATTAAAAATGATGTCACATCTATAGCAGCACTATATGAGAAAAATATAATTTAAAATTTTCTAATAATCACATTAAAATAATAGAAAGAAACTGGTGAAATTAATTTTAACAATGTTTTATTCATCCCAATATATACAATGTTTCAGTTCAATATGCCATCAATATAAGAATATTACTACTTTTTGTGTAAAGTCTTTGAAGTCTGGTGTGTTGCTGCACTTTTGAGCACATTTCAGTGGAGACTCTCCACATTTCAAATGCTCACTGTGGTCACTGTACTGGACAATGTGGGTCTATACATTCCTATTAAGGTTTGCTGTTCCCAAAGTTTACATTAATAACTCAATGTCCATAATTTAAACACATTAGCATTACAATAGTGACTTACCAGCTGTCGGGGAAAGGTCTATTAGGTGTGTGGTTAAAACTTCTGTCAAGTGGGATACCAATTGCATCACCTGCCTTGGCATCTATTTACCATCAAAGACATAGAAGAGCCAAGTAACTGTCACCTTTTTAGTCTGGCCTCAGACTGTAATAAGTAACAAGCAATAGAATGAGCATTGTAAACATATTTTTAAAATTTGTATAATCTTTCAATTTTTCCATCTCAGAAGAATGAGAAAGAAAATTTACCATGTAACTTTTAAGGGAGAAATCAAAAGCAGACGGATCTCCTGGGTATGGCCAGAACACAGAAATTAAAAATAAATAAAAGAAAACTAAAACTAAAACCCATAAAATGGTAACAAAAGAAAAATAAACTAAGTCCACTTTGGAAATACATGCACTGTTAATTCAGTTTTAAGTATAGTGAAAAATATTTCACATCAGCATTACCTATCAATTTTACTGAAAGTCACAAAGATCTACCGAGTATGACTTCAAAAAAAGTATTGCTTTGACATACTGTTGAAATAAGTAATTTCCCTTTGTGTGAAATTGAAAGCCATGTAATAGGCAAAAAATCAGCACAGTACATCTTCCCTAACTCTGCCTAAACTGAAGCCTAGTCTCAAGTCACATCCCATCATTAGAGATGCACCTGAGGGAAGTACTGGGAACACATTCACCAAAAGGCCAGAAACCTCAGTAAGTACTGCTATGCTCTTACACAACCAGGCCCGTATGTAGAGGGCAAGAGCTTCCTTCCACATACTCAGTATTTATATACTCATCCCTTCAAGGCACAACTGTATCATAAGTATTTTGATAAAACCTTATGGAAAACATAAATGTTAGGATCTGTGTGCTTGATTTAATATGCTTGATAACTGTCATGAAAATTGTTATGTGGCTGGGCGACAGTTAATAGGATAGTGGAAAGCCTAAAGTTCAACAGTAGAATAAACTTCTGAAAAGCAAAAAATTTTTAGCATCTAGCAGAGAACTGCAAGGTCATAAAAATTGGGGGTTGAAGGAGGTGATCATTATTCTGCGTTCTGTTTAAGATTCTATGTGAGATAAAGGTCTAGAAAAAAAATACATGAGAATATACCAGTGAACATTCTCTTTAATGGACTACATGCGCTTTTTTTCTTTCTACTTTTCATTAAGAGCCTTGTGTTCCTTTTTAAAGGGTATGTTTAAAGTTGTTACTCTGCCTATAATTCCAGGTATTGGGAGTCAGAGGCAAGAGGATCAAGAGTTTGAGGCCAGCTTTGAGGCAAAGGTAGTGGTGAGACCCTGTCTCAAAAACAAAAGGGCTGGGGCATAGATCAAGTGGTAGAGTACTTGCCTAGCATGCACAAGGCCATGGGTTCAAGCCCCAGTGCCACAAAAAAAAAAAAAGTTACTCAAATGATCTATGAGGAGAGTAACATTATAACTTACTGCTCAAACTGACATATTTTGAGGAATAAAGGGGGCATTATTAATATTGTAAGACAAATGGTAGATACTCAGGCTAATCCTATATAAACCAGGATATATTTATGGCCACACTAGGTGTTATCTTATTATTTGGTTAATATTCTGTCATTATTGTGAAATTTAAAGAAACCAATAAAGTTTATATATATATATATATATATACTCATATAATCATTTTCTAGATTCTAGATGAGTAAATTTTTTTTTTGGCAGGAGTGCCATCTCTACCATATATCCTAATTACATACTTTCGAAAGATGAGTCTTTCTTAGTTTCAGTTACTCATAGAAATTAGATACAGCTGACTTCATTTTTATAAAAGGATAAAAGGCAACAAAATCATGAGCTATTTAAATATGTAAGTATGCATATATTTGGTATATATACTCATTTCATAATCTAGGTAAGGCAAATCCAAATGAAGATCAAAGAAAAAAAGGTTAACAGTCAAAAATGAGGAAATAAGTACTTCGTAGAGCACAGCCTTCTACTCTATAGGCTACAGCTGGAAAAGGTGGAAGGCTGGTAGGCAGGAGTGTGTGAATGTGGCAGTGCACAGCTGCTTGCTTATGATTCCAAACAGGTACATTCTAGAACTCTGGACAGTCTCATTATAAAATATAAAATATGGGAGGTGCTGGGAGGAAGAGCTCAGTGGTAGAAAACGTGTCCATTGTGCACAAGGAACTGTATATAAAAAACAACTCTTCACCATTTGATTAAATACTAATTATATTTATCTAACATTTATTTTGTGACTAGTTTTTCCATTACTGCTTCAAAAAAAATTCAATAAAGCCAATTTTGGTTACAGTAAAGCACCTTGTTTAAAAATAAGAGTAACTCTTGATGGAAACAATAGGACATAAAACCTTTTTTCCTTTGGTTCAAGACATGCTATATTTTTACAGTCAACCCCAAACATAAGAAAGAAATGAGAAGCGAAACTTAACTCACAAAAAGAAAAGTACTCATTAATTTCTCTTCGGTAGATCCCAGAGCAGGCATCTTTGGGTCTGACTTTAATTTAAATCTCACTTAGTGGTCTCAGAAAAGTTCCAGGGGGAAGGTCTTCAGGTAACAAAAGGTTTTTCTCAGTTCTTAAAGGCAGATCCAGGGCAGTTCTGAATTCTGTGCTTTACTTTAAATGCACCTACCATTAGCACACCGTCTATACTGCCGCAGCCAAAAGAAACAGAGGCAGTGAGGACACTGCATGAAGCATGCTTCTAGATTCCCCAAAGGGAAAAGGAAGGTGTGTGTTACTATTTTAAAATGAAAATTATATGGAAGAAATAACTGGATAAGGTAAATTAAAAAATTTTTTGGTAGCAGGCAAATCCTTGAAGTCAATGAAAGAAGCCTTAAGAAAAAACAATTTTCTTTGTCTAATTCAATCCAATTATTTTCTTGGTAAGGAGCAAGTCCACAATGCCTGATGAAACTGTACTGGGTTTCTGGTTGTTAGAGCCTAGTTAAGACTTAAAATGAAACTATTTAAACACTACTTTAGATAAACAGCATGGCTAATAACCTTCACATATTTATTTCATATTCTCGTGCTTCCTATCTCTAAACCATGGTCATTTTCTCCACCTTGTAGATAAACATTACACAAAAAATAGATGCAAACAAAATAAAGGAATAGAAACCCACTGTGAGGAAGTAACAACATAATTCTTATATTGGTTGTAGTTAAGAGACTTCACTTTAAAAATACTTACCAAGGAAAGTGCTGGAGAAAGTTCTGTATAGAAACATTAATCTTTTGTGTTTTAACTGAAAGCTGGAAGCCTAGAGTATAATTACCTCTTTAATAATTAACAAATAATTGTTATAGTCAGAATCTAACACTTTTAGTGTTGATACATTCTATAAGGAAAGGGAATAATCAGAAACATTAGAAGAGTGTATGCATTTGTATTCGTACAGATGGGGCAGGAGGTATATACAACCGTGTATGTGCTATCAATTTCCAAAGCATGGTGAAATTTGGAATAAGAAATTGAAGAGAGGTAAATATTAACTCATTTACTGAATTTACTTAGCTTTTCTCCAAATTACATCTTTAGAAGATTTAATTGTAGCCAAGAGCTATTTTCACAGTTCAGCAGATACGACCAAATGAATGAATTAAAAAATCATTAATTAAAGGGGAAAACAATTTTCAATTGAAAATGTTAGTTCTTAAGTAGACTACATTTAGAAGAGCATACGTCAGCTTGCACACTCTTACTACTTTTGTTTTTAAGTAAAATCCAACTGTGTGTGTGACTGAGTGTCTCCTCATCCCAAAGCTTATCCACATGGGGGTGACTTACACAGAGAATTCGTTCTAGTGAACACCCGACTCACTACTCACTGTGTTGGGAGCCTTGTCAAAACTTATTCCAAAGAGAGAACAAGTGAATTGAATAATTGAAAGAAACATCCATTAAATATGTTCTAAGTATGCCATTTCAAAGTTGCATTTTACAAAGTTGAATTGTTCTGACAGAATTGAGAATATAAAGTTTTGCTTTTTCCCAGCTCCTGTCCCTTCCTTTAAAATTAAGTAGCCTTGTTGGGGGCCGATGACCCATGATTGTAATCCTAGCTACTGGGGAAGCTAAGAATCAGGAATATCATGGTTCCAGGCCAGTCCAGGCAAATAGTTCACATGATCCCATTTCCAAAATAACCAGTACAGGCTCAAGTGGTAGAGTGCCTGCCTAGCAAGCATGAGATGCACTGAGTTCAAACGCTAGTACTGCCTCTCCCCACCCCCCAAAAAAGTCTCAAAATAAACAGTGCAAAATGGTCTGGAGGTCCATCAAGTGGGGAGGGCATTTATTTTGCAAGTGTAAAGCCCTGAGTTCAAACCTCAGTCCCACCAAAATAAGTAAGATCAAGTAAAATAAGGTGGTCTTGAGCTAAGACTTATCTAAGGCTACCTCTGGCATTTTGATCTCCATGCTGCCACAGTCCCTTCAAACTTTCCATGTAACCCTCCAAGTTGAGCTAATCCAGCTCAAGGTGTGTACTTGGTATACTTTTATGCAGAAAAACTGCTTATGCTTTTTGATTATCTACTGTTTAAACCAAAACAAATCTCAAAAATAAACTGAGCACATTGATGTTGAAACAGAGCTTACCTTAGAACCACGCTCATTAAAGATTATTTCTACATCTAGGATTTTGCCAAACTGCTGCAGAGACAAAAATAAAACATTTATTTATGGTCAGTTTTTTTATTCACATACTTTCCAAAAAAGAAATACTTTTCCTTCTTCTTTGAACTAGTACTTATTCAGGTTCAGTGTTTTTAGGTATTGGTAGGTCCTGATACAAGTTTCTGAACACCACCATCCCCCTAGCACTGAGCTGGTAGTTTCTCCTCTCTCCCCTTCTGGGAGCCATTGTCTGAAGACAGTCACAGTGTTGCCCTATTAGGTACTGCTTATGGGGTTTTTCTAAGTATTCAAATTTTTTTTTTTTTTTTGGTGGCACTAAGGTTTGAACTCAGGGCCTCAAACTTTCGGGCATATGCTCTTACCGCTTGAGCCACTCCACCAGCTCGGGGGCTGGCTTTGAAGGCAATCCTCCTGGTCTCTGACTTCTGAGTAGCTAGGATTACAGGTGTGAGCCACTGGCACCCAGCTCAAATTTTTTGAATGTCTCAGTTTTAAAAAGTTAAATCCTACTAAATAAAATGACACACTGTTGAAGGCTGTCCTCCCTCCTCTCCCTCATTTTTTAGTTTTAATTATTTTTTTAAGCAGGGGCCACTCTAATCTCTGTACCAGTTTTAGTATATGTGCATCCCTCCTGTTTTTTTAAAAAGAAAATTAATACAAGTAAGCCACATTCATCATATAAAATCAGAAAATATAAACAAAATAAAGATCAACTGCAACCCCACCATGTTGCATTTTGCAATACCAAGCAGTTTGATATAAGGCCTTCCATCAGCTATATAGACATAAGTAACTATAGACAACAGACACATTCTGCATATTGCTTTTTTATTTTTTTAATTTAGCAAGAGTTATGAACGATTATCCAATTCAGTAATATATACCTGTTGTGTTACTATTTCTGTAGGCTGTAAGACATTCCATCATATTTAAAATATTTATTGACAGAAAGGATGCTTCCATTTATTTGCCACTTTATTATTTCTAAAACATCAAGAAATATTTTATGTAACAGTTCTGTATAGTCATTAAATATTTTAACACTCTCAAAGGTAAACAGAGCTAAATACACAAAACCAAAATAACTCTATTGTCAGGTAGCTAAATAGCTGACTAGAGGGGCTAACCCAATTATGTTAGAGGACAAGACTGCTTTCGTTACTACTTGAATGAATGGAATTGAGGTATGTGCAGTAAATCTCCAGGTAGCCTTTGAATGTTATTTATTTCACTCGGATTTCAAACCAGACTATGGGAAGTGGGGAGAAAAAAAACCCTAAAAAATGAAAAAGAGCAAAACAGCAATTAGTAGCATCTTTATTAAAAACCAGGCATTAAGAACCCACATTTTCTAGAGTAAGACACTTGTACTTGATTCCAGTTTTATCTCTTAACAGAAAATTAAGGGGAGAGGAAAATGTCTTATTCTAGACAGGATGGCACTTAATTTTATTTCTATGCCTATCCTATAAAACTAACATGGAACTTTAGAGTGTGGTTTGCTGGCTTTCATGGTTAAGGAGACTATTTGGTCAAGTTTGCAAAGCTAATAAAATGGAGCATGGAACCCTTGCTCTTTTCCTGCTATTGTCCTAACCGAAAGGCAGCACGCATATGGAGGAAATCGAGTGCCCAGGTGCTCTTTTGAGGAGAAAGTTAGTATTTTTTCACTTCATGCCTATGCATAGGGCATCGTGACTTCAAGAACTCACTAACTGACCTAGGGAGATCTTCAGTGGACACTGGTCTTCTGGCTCAAGAGAAAACAGACTTTCAGCAGATGAGCATGTACTCCATTCTCACTCACTCCAAAGACTGAGACATTATTATAGCCTGATGATTCTGAAGAGAACCCAGTAACTCATGCCCTTGGGAAGTGTCTTCTTATAAGTAACTAAGTAAGTCCTTTCTATTTTCTGCTCTCTTTCCTGTAAAGATGGAGAACAGTTGGTTCTATTTTCTGTGGAAATCTCGACTCTGGAAAAAATACAACCAGGGAGTCAACTAAGTACCAAAACTTTGCTCTAGTGTCTTGTCACCACAAAGTGGCCACAACCAAGACTTAAAGCAGGCCATCTGCCTTTCTGACAAAGCACTAGGCAGTTATCACAGTGAAATTTTTATGAATATTATCTCTTGGTCCTAGGTCAAGTTAAGAGTTTTGTCAAATTAAAAACAGAAACAATGTATATAGGCTCAGAGAAAACACTTAACTCTTAGCAGTCATTCACTTTCAACATAAATTTTTGCTATTACACTTTATTTTTTTGGCGGTACTGGAATTTGAACTCAGGAGTTCACGCTTGCTAGGCAAGTGCTCAACCACTTAAGCCACTCTACCAGCCCTTTTTTTCATGTTGGGTATTTTTGAGATAGGGTCTGGTTTTTTGCCTTGGTTGGCCTCGAACTGTGATCCTCTTCATCTCTGCCTTCTGAATAACTAGGATTACAGGTGTGAGCCACCAGCACTTGGCACACTTTGTTTATTTGATGATGATTTTGGGAAGAAGTAAGTAGCTGAAGGAATACAAAAGAGGAAGCAAACCAACTTTCTACACCTAATTTTAAACACTGGCCTTGGCACCACTGAATATAAGCAAGGAAGTAAAAACAAAACATGGAGGTATTTCACAGATATTATTCTATTTTCTTTATAATCCTCTGAAAGGTAGAGATTACTATCTCTATTTTTAGATATGAACTTCAAAATCAAAGAGATTACATCAATTTATCAAGGGTATCAAGCAACTAGAATTTGATCCCATGCTCTTTGATGCCAAAATCCACATCCTTCCCATTTGAATGAGCCACCTCCAAACCTGTATTATCTACACTGTGTGTCTTCTGAGACACTGCAGAGGCAGAGTAGAGAGCAGCAATTAGACGTTCTAAACCAAAGGGATGGCTGAAGACAAAGAAGAGAGGCAGGCAGTAAAGTGGGTTTATATGGAAGGCAAGGAGCTAAGAATGTAACAGGATAAACAAGCATAGGTCCCCACACTTCCCTCACATTAGAATTCCTAGGGATCTTGTAAAAATGCCTCGGTCCAACCTGCTTCCTGGGCCAATAAAACCACAATGTTTGGGATACACACAAGTTTAGGAACCACTGCACTATAAGAATGTACATGTTTGGTCTTTTAGGTGAAACTAAGGATACTACTAGCATGTTTACTAAGCTTGATGTGTGAGTAAGGTGGCCATCTCATCCTGGTTTTAGCATTCAAAATCTCAACTTACAAGAAACCCCTTTAGTTCCAGCAAACAGTTGTATGGCCGTCTTATGTGTGAGACAACCTGCAAAGCTAATGTCTAGAGAGACTGGGTGGTAGAAAAAGGTTTTTGAAGACTGATGACAATACTGATTAACCTAAGAATCTTTCTCAATTCTTTGTAGCTTTATTTCAAAGTAGTAATGACTAAACAGCACATTTGGTGCGTTAAATTCTATTTTAATTTGTAAAAAACCTTAAAAGGACTTCAAAGACTTACCCCAAACATTTGTCGGAGGTCAGGGTCCCGGAAGCGGAAAGGAATATTAGAGACATGTAGTCGTTTAGGGGTGGATTTACTCTCTGAATTTTCACTACTTTGTGTCTGTGACTGCTGGCCATCTGTCTGTGCTCCACCTTCTGTCTGCTAAAGAGAGAAGTAAATGACATTGAACAAGACATAATTACTTCATAAAAATTATGTAAAATAATTAAAGTCCTGTTCTACCATAATCATTCTCAGTGTATCTGTAAACAAAAATGATAACTGTCCTTTCTAACAGAAAAAAACCCAAAGGTGTTATCTATGTTCAAAATGCTATAGTTTACAAACCAAATTTAGGCCTTTTGAATATTTGCACTACATTAGCAAATGGGAGAACAGACACAGAAGTACTAAGGGACTTGCTGAAGATCACACGGAGGTACACTGGGCTAATTGGAGAGGTAAAAACAGTGCCCTTATTCTTAGAGTCTTAGTAGACCTTTCTATTTTTGAGACTTCTCTATTTTGAAAACAAAGACTCTGTTGAACTTAGTTGTTAAGGGCACTGAATCTTTTGCTCTATCTCAGGCTCTCAAGGAAATGAAATAAGGCAATATTTTTCCATTCCATTTCCTCTATTATTTTTAGAATTTATGACTACTCAGTTGTCAAAGTATTATTTATGAAAAGGGAAAGCTAGTGATGATAGTCAATTTGATTAAAAATCAAAGCAGCTTCTTATTTTGAAACAAATCTGTACTCTCCCTTCTCCTTTATTCCATTCTGGCTGACCCCTCTACCTGTGCTGAGCAAAGGTGCATTTAGAGTCTAACTGTTGGTAAAGGCTGTAGGGGGCCCCACTAATCTATTATATAATAGGTAAATACTAGATTAGGTATATATCCATAGTAAAAGAGGAGTGTGATACACATTCTAAATCATAATCTCTTGCAATCATCCAGGAACATTTGTCTAATCTTCCCCCCATTAAATCCTTAAAAAATTATGTTCAGAAACATTTTTTACAAACATCTAATAGGTGTGATACCTGCTAGGCATAGAAGACGACATTTATTTTGAAGTATTCATCTGGAAAACCTTATGTTTTTACTATTCTCTGTGAAGTGCATACCAAACCAAATGACTTGTTGAGTTGATTAACATACTTTTAAAACAGGAGTGGAACTTGCATTTCTTACTATCTTAATTGAAACAGAAATTAAGTTTCTAGAATATTCTTCTGGGTGATACAGGACAAATCTCCATCCTCAGAGCCAATGTTCAGCTAAAGGACACTATGAATCAGAGATACTTTTGGTTCAAAGATGTGAGCAAACATTTTGAGATCTGAAACTTTAAAATATAAAGGATAATTAAGAATAAACTAGGCTGTGCACCAGTGGCTCACACCTGTAATCCTAGCTACTCAGGAGGCAGAGACCAGGAGGCAGAGCCCAGGCAAATAGTTCATGAGATCCTATCTTGAAAAAACCCTTCACAAAAAAGGGCTGGTGGAGTGGCTCAAGGTGAAGGCCATGTGTTCAAGTCCCAGTACCGCCAAAAAAAAAAAAAAAGGAATAAATTCAGTGAATACTAGTTTTTCAAGTGTCAAATGGCAGCTTTTTATCTCATTCCATTCAGGCCTTGCAGATGGCTTAAATGTGCAATTCATGGGACATAAAAACAGCAGAAAGAGAAGAGCTATGAAGCAATGTTCTGAGAAAGTGTAAGGTTTCCAGTTGTCACATGAAGTACATTAACAAAACAAAGCAAAGATGAAATCCACTAAGTTACTAAAACAGCATGATAGAAACCAACAAGCATCACTTGTAACTAATTCAAGCACCTTCAAACTAGCCTCTGACATCTCACAGCTGGATCACAGAACTCTCTTCAAATTTTAAAGGCAACCAATCTGATCTGTGGGATGTCAATGTATCACTGAGAAAAGTTAAAAAAATTGATTCTGGGGTACCCTCTCTTGGGACCCGCCCCCAACTCTGGGGGCTCTACTCTTCTACTTTAAACTTTCTATCTCAATAAACTCTCCCGTTGTAAACTTAAAAAAAAAAAAAAAAGATTGATTCTATGAGCTCCAAATCACAGTTTCACATAGAACTTATATATGTAGTCCATGTAACCTGGCACGGGGTATTCAAAATGGCAGGGTAATTGAACACTAAGGATACTTTAAAGAATGCCGAAAGACTACTTAGTTGCTACTCTTGAGAATTCTTTGCTGACCTGAAGACACAATTTAAGAAGGTTAGAAGCCAGGGTGGCTATTTTCCCAGTTTAGAGTAAACACTTAGGTTTCTTAAAAATATGAGGTCATTAACTTTAGGGACATCTGGGAAGTGGAAAAAGTGAACTATCATTTCCAAAATTTTCAAGCCTTCTGACCTAATTTTAAAATAGTAATTTAACATAAACACGCACAAGTCATATAAGCATAGGGCTAAATGAATCTTCACAAAGAAAGCACACCCACATACGCATCAAATTAGATCAAAGAACAGGACACTCCAGGAGCAAACCAGGAGTCCAGTCGTTGGACTCCTGCCAAAGGCTCAGCACTGTCCTAACTTCTGCCTCTACAAGTGAGTTTTGCTGTTTTTCTGAGACAGGGTCTCATTATGTAGTCCAGGCTGGCCTAAAACTTGGGATCTTCCTGCCTCAGTCTCCTGAGTGTGCAATACCACATCCAAGTACTTTTATTGTTTTTGAACTTTTAAAAAATTGTATCTGTCATTATTTTATCTTCTGTACATTCTTTAATGTTTATTTATAACCCTGTTTTGTCTTTTTTTTTAAATTATTTTTTCATTATTATTGTATTGGGGTATATCATGACATTTACAAGAGTTCCTACAATATATCATAGTTGAATTCAACTGTTTTGGAATTTAAAAAAAGAAATCATACAGTATGTTTCATTTGTGCCTGTGTTCTTTCACACAGCTTATTTATGAAACATGAATATTGTTAGAATGTATTTGTACTCTACTGTATAAAGAAGCAGAATTTGAGCTGCTTTCTATTTTTAGCTATGTAGAATGTTCTGTGAACACCCTGTTTGGTGCACATGAGCAGGGATTTGTGCTGGATGTGTGAATATCACAATGCTCTGGCATGTTCTCTAAGTGGCTGTGCTAAAGTATTCTCTCATCAACTGTGTGTGAGCTCTAGTTGCTCTCAGTGTTGTCACTTTACTCCTGGTGGGGGACAGTGGAATCATTTGTAGCTTTAATTTGTATTTCTCTGATGCACTGATCACCTTTTCATGGTTATGGGACATTTTGATATCTTTTTGTGAAATATCTGTGCAAAACCATGGCCCATCTTCTATTAGGGTGACTGCTTTTTGCTTATGATTTATAGGTGCTACTTATAAATTCTGGGTAAGAACCTTTGCAAACGATTATCTTTTTTGCTCTGTAGGCCAACCCTCAGATTTTTAACATGTTTTAATTTGTTGGTGACATCACCTCAAACTTCTCCACCACTAAAATAGCTAACATAAACACCTCATTCTTTGAATAGACACAGTTAGCTTTTCAATTTGCTTTGCTCAAATCTCACCAGAAAACTTATTTGACCTCATTGGAGCCAACAGACTCCACACTTCGCTATCCCTCATCTATCTTTACTTCTTTTGTCAAATTTTGGTTTTAAACCTGTCTTTTCAATCTCCTTGGTTGAATTTGCTTATAAAAACTGCAACCTTGTATGAATCCCACCATCAGTTCTAAGCTTGACCCTGGCCAGGTAACCACTGGTGAAGGAAAGTCATTTACTTGGGCTGCTGAAAGGCCCAATAGCCACACCAAGCCCAAAAGGGCTCTCAGGGCTACCAGCAATCTCACCAAGTGCCTCAGTCACCTAGCACTCCTGTTTTCTATCAACAGTGCTTCACACTTGCTTTTCTGTCTTTACACTTCAGGTATTTTCTTCTTTCACTTATGAGGAGTCTGAGGAATAGGAAGACTGCTTAAGTGATTGACTCCAACCCAGGCAACCTGGCTCCTGTGTGTATCCTAAAGCCACTACATTATATGTCCTTTTCTTTAGTCCCTGGAAGTCTATGAGGCATGTAACCCTCAAATGACAAAGAAGAAACTAAGGCATTGTGAGGTTGACAGATACCCCAGGTCACACACTAAGTGGAGGAGCAGGGTTTAAAGCCAGGCAGTCGGATCTCTCCGGAGCACTGTCACTGCTACTCCCCTTCCCTTAGTGGGAGGAAGGACACTCATGCATCCCATTCTCTCGCTTCTAAGGACCTGCAGCTGAAGAAACAAGAATTCTCCTGGGTACAGGCAGATGTGGGGGGTAAGAGAAAGGGAAAGCTAAGCACATAAAAGTTTGTAGGTCTTACTGTGAACAGTGAATAGTTAAACTCTTCTAAGAAAAAAATCTAAGTCAGTAACAGCACTGGTTTGCTTTATTTTCTATTGTTAAGCACTGAGCAACTTTACTATCTACATAAACAACCTCTCAAGGTTGTGCTTTCCCCCTCGGTGGTCACTGTCTGACTAAGTGTATTCACTGGGCAGAGGATGAAAGAGGAGAGGCTGGTGTCTGTTTACCCACAGTTCATAGGGAGGACCAGCAACAGAATGGCTCTGATGCAATCATGTGGATGGATGAAGCCTGTGCTTCATCCAGCCTTCAAGAACAGCTTCCCAAGTGAGGCCTGTGATTTGCCACACAGCCCAGGAGCCCAGGCCTACTACAGCTAAGACACAGATTGTTTTAAGCCTCAAAAAACCTCACCTTAGAAATGAGGACTAAAAATACATGTGTGTGCGCGTGTGTGCAGGTGTTTAAGATAGGGTCTTGCTATGTTGTCCAGGCTAGCCTTAAACTCCTTGCTTGGCTCAAGTGATCCTCTTGCCTCAGCCTTCCAAGTGCTGGGATGACAGGTGTTACTACAACTTGGTCAAAAATAAATCTTATTATTTTGCAGTGTTGGGGATTGAACACAAATGCTACATGCTTTTTATTTATTTTGAGACATGTCTTGCTATGTATCCCAGACTGGCTTCAAACTCAGGATCCTCCTGTCTCAGGCTCCTACGTGCTGGGATTACAGACAGGTACCATGATGCCCAGCTTTTTTTTTTGTAGTGCTGGGGTTTGAACTCAGGATTTTGCACTTT